GAACATTAGCACCAGAGCATGGTCCGCTAGCTGCTCCTCCGGGTGCAGCAACTGTCATCATAGTTAATGAACTCCCCCATTTTGTACGATGCTTTGTCGGAAGCAACCGACTGCTTCACTTTCATTTCGTCTAAATCCTAATAGAAGCACTCCACATCTCTTTACGTGGGTCTTGTTCTTGAGCTGCTCTTTGGTGCTGTTCATGGCCATAGCATTGTACCCATATTGAGTAGGAATGCCACTTATTATCTGGCTGAGACGTGTTTCAGAAGGCAGTGGCAACAGCTGCATGTCAGCTATCAAAGAGTACGCTTTCGGACTTGATATTCATAGCAACATGCACGGCATCAGCCACCCTGTGTCATACCTTTGGCTTGTCTTTGATTTTGCTTGTGCAGTTCTGAGCGCTGTTGCAAAAACAATTATCTGCTTTCTTGACAGTACACTAAGGGCCTTGTCAATGTTCTTGTCACTGACCTCACCTAATTGCCTTCTCATGGTGGCAAGCGTTTATCGGATTTTTTCTCTTCGTGAGGTTGTCCTTATGACTTGGAGGCGCATCGACTTTATGGTGGTGCTTTTCGTCTTCGGATTTCTCTCTTTGAGCATCTTTGCTCTCTTCGAGAACAGTACATGCAGCTTCCTGCACTCTGAGCAAGTTGTGCCGGAGCTGAACACCTTACAGCTGCTTCGGTACCAAGACTCACCTTCTTTTGCCGCTATCGAACTGAATTCAATGCTCGGATACAGCTCTGTAAAGTACCCTTCACAAAGCTTGAGATTGTCAATGCAGCGTAGAAAAGTGACCACATCTTCCAATACCCCAAGTGAGACACACTGTTGGCTGGCGTACGCTGCTGGTGGAACGAGCTTTCCAGTGGCGTTCACGAACACCTGCATTGTTTCCGTCACAATTACCAGTCTCTGCATTTGTACGATGCCTCCTTGTATCAGAGGACCACAAAGCCTTCTGTGGGCTCAAGCGACCAACCTTCCAGCTGTTGTCTTTGCTTTGCCAGAGTTAATAAGCCTTCAAAAGGCCCAAGACGTGTGGTTCTGTCATCAGTTGATGTCAATCACTCAGTATCTGGGATAGGCGTTTGTGCAGCTGATGTTCCTGTCGATTGCTGGAGCCTTGAGCTTGCAAACAGACTTCGAAATATATTTCGTGCAGTTCGGAAAAATACGAGGGGCTGCATCCTCTGTTAGGGTCCACTTCTCCTGTGGAATGACAACGAGTTCACCTTGAATGTTCTATTAAATTCTTCCAGGATGTCTTCTGCTTGAAAATGAGAAGGTCATGGACCACAAACCGCTTTGAAAGCTTTTTGTCTCGGGATTGCTCGGTTCTACGCTTCAAGATATGAAGCTTCACTCGGTGCCTGGAAGAAGTGTCTCTTCCCACAAGATTTCGCTACGGAATCGCAGCCGCTCGCGTACCCGGGAACAAAACACAGCGGTATATGATTAACTGTTTAATTAAGTTTGATGTAGAACATTACAAGCTGCCCAACTCTTGAAACTTCCAGGTCTCGTTGGTCTTCGCAATTTGGGCATAGCATGCCCCGCAAGTTCTTTTCTTTTCGTGGAGGCTCTTCCAGACCTTGCGGAATCGGGCGCGCGTTTTGCATATGCGCGTGTTTTGCAGAAGCGCGCCTGTGTATACATGCGCGCGTTGTGCACATGTGCGTTTTCTGGGCCGCCAAATTAACAAGCACAAGCTCGCAGAACTCATATCTCAGCTTCAGGTTTTATTATTTATAAGAGAGCAGTGCATTCCGCACACCACCAAATCCTTTTGCTGCGAAATAATGAAATCAGGCGCCCACAGAGAGGTAGCTAAAAATGTATTTATTCTTACTTTAAATATATCGCAACATTATCATGAATTTATTTTAAGCCCAACTAGAATAATAAAAAAGTGTAGTTAATACAACGCGAATTTAAATCAACGCGCTGATTCAGCCACACGTCAACAAGCATGTTGCTGAATCAGGCACTGAAGCATGCACATATGCTTACACAAATGAACTCGTTTCGCATAGGCGAGGGTGTCTCACAATTCGTACACTATTACCGCGAAGCTATTGCAGGTACTGTAAAAAATAACGGCTCTAATATCTACCGAACTTTCCCACGTAAATCTCCGAAGTATACACACACAAATCCGCGCTGATCAGCTGATCGGAATGAAATTATTACTCCTAGCTTAGTCACACGTTTCCAAAATGACACGGGCAATCAAAGAGGCCATAAAACACTACCTCGGTACCCTGTTCGAAGTGGTTTTAACAATGAAGAATACCCGTGCATTTTAACAATTTACTGCCGGCAGCTCAAGTAACTTTTAACTAGAGCTAACGAATGCCCTTGAATTCCATAGGAATTTAATATTCCTCTGGTAATTTTATGATTTAGCCGGTTGAAAGCTTTAGAGAAGCCAATAAAAATTCCCAGTGTGAGACATTTGTTTTCAATATTATTTAATACATTGTTTCTTTTTGCTTTAGTAAGGTCAATTCAGTGGAACGTTTTCGACAGCCATATTGTTGAGAATGAGTAAAGATCATATTACCTTCACAGACATTTTATAGTCTAACATGAACTACTTTCTTTAAGCCATAAGTAAGAATTAATAGGATTCAAATCGGTTTGTAGTTGGACATTTTGTTTCTATATCCGGCCTTATACAAAACATACACCTTTGCATCTGCATACCCTTAGAAAGAATGCCAGTCCAAAGTGACAGATTAAAAATGTGAGTAAGACAGGGCGTAATTCTGTCAATTCCGTATTTTATCGGCTGCAACTGCATTCCGTTAAAGTCCGTACATTTCCTTTTTTAAATTTAAATACGTCGAACGTACTTTACGCTCATTATTAGGAAATAAACAACTTTTAGAAATGCCTGCAGGGAACCACTTTTGCATATTTCACAAAGAAAAGTGGATTTGTGAAATAGTTATTAAATTCGTTTGCTAACTCCACTCCAGTCAATCTATTTCCTTGTATTAAGTTCGAGCAAAACGTTTTCATGACTATTTCGGTTTAGAGTTTTTTGTGGGTGGGTGTTTTTTTGTATTTTTTTTTTTTTTCAGATAACGTCATTTCTATTTTTATTATGAAACTTTTTGTAGTAATATGATCCTTTCGCTTTGCTTGGCATTCTGGTTATTAGATTTCGAAATTTCTAAGCATTTTAAGCACAAATAAATATTTTAACAAAAAAAAAAACGCGCATAAAAATTTTTCTTTTTTTTATCATTTTCAGTATGTCCTGGTAGCCCACGGCTGATTGGTTGAAAATGTCTTTATTGATCAGAAGACGGAAAGAAGGGATTCGGTCAGTCTTGGCTGGTGCCAAATATGACCCGGGGCGGAGGAAAAGGAATTATATGCAACGTGTAAGATAATTAATTGCCTCCTCCACAAAGTGAAAGAGGGAGTTACAGCTCTCTTTAATATGCTTGGGTAATCCGGATGGTCTCGTCCATTACGCCAAGCTCTTCGGCCTTCGGTCTTCGGAGAGGTTCGGAAGGATCGCCTCCTTCTTTATGGAGATGTTTTCGCACAGTCCCAGAAGACATGGTATTCTGAGGCCAGGACCATGCAATGGCTGCAGAGACTCCCGTTTATGTCTTCTACAGAATCTGCGTTATCTTCTTTGCTGGCCCTGGCTTGTCTGGCTTAAAGGGGTACGAAACGAAATTTTAGCGCCGATCTTTCTGCATAATTATGGGCTAGGGACAGGCACCACCTCGGAAATATCAATATCGCGCTGTAAAACAGAGGAGAACTAATTTTAAACCTAATTAAACGATTTCAAATTCACATCAGGTGGATGGTGGGAAAGTTCTCGTGACATCACTTGTGGCATGGGGGCAGCGCCGTTCTGCGGCAATACGGCGTGCCGGCAGAATCAGCCTAGGCCTTAACGCGTTTACAAAGCCTTGGCGGAGAAAGCCAAAGCGTAGTTGGCCACAGTGAGCTGGTTCTCGTTGCGGCTCTTTGCACGACACGACCCGAGCATGCTTCTGGCACGGCCGGTATTAGTTGCTGCGAGTCGCGAGCTGCGAGCCGACGTTAAAAAAGATATGTTTGAACTACGAGAGTGTCAGCAAGAGCCACGCAAATACCTGTTCACACTCGGAGCGGACACGCGCGTTTGATCGAAGTGCTGGATTCGCTCTGTTAGACCGCTTTTCGGTAAGCGCTTCTGGACCGATCTTTTACGATTGCAACTAGATACTGACATGACACTCGGCAAAGAAAGGTTGGACCGACATCGCATAGCTCCCACGAACTGCAATATTTCGACAGTGACTATAGACAGCTGCGGAGCTGTCGTAAAATTCTGTCGTAACCTGCGCAAAAGTTACGACAATTTCGTTTAGAGAGTACGGTTTTTTTCTCAAATTTGTCGTGCGCACTTTTTTCGTCGTAAGTTCGCTTTGAAAATCCGGCCTCAGAGCTGGTTTTGTCAGTGGTGCCGTGGCTGCCGACTTGCCGTGGTGCAGCGTGCGTGCAGCCCCTGCACATCTCAAACCGCCACGTTGTCACAGGTCGTAAATCGTCGACGCGCCACCAAGTGGCAACGCTCGTAACCACAACATCCACGCCGTAGCCTTTCCCGTCTGGCACAAGTGACGTCACGAATGCGCACAATATCCCAAGACGCATCGCGCTCTCCGATGGCTGATCTTTGAGCGCGCGCCCAATCGGGCCCCTCAGGGTGAAAAATATAGCCATCCGTTCAAAATACAAACGCGCGATTATGATTTACGGATATCATTGATCATATTAAACCTATTTGTCACCATAATAGGTGTATTTCAAGTTTCACTTCAGTATCTCTTTAAGTTGCCTTTTTAGCTTGTTATGCCCAGCGCACACGGCCGTGCGTTTGGGTACCATAACGGCGCCCGTGCGCAGCCTTCGGAGACAAACCGTGGACCCTTTTCTGAGGGCTTGTGGCCTCTCTCGGCGCGCTGTCTGCTCACCATCCATGAGGGCTGCAGGATCACGCCTCTCTGTTGCGTCCGCGGCGCCGATACCGTCGCCATGTCCGGGATTGCCAGAGGGAGAAGAGAGCATAAGCAGTGCTGCGGCATGCGCTGCCTTGTTCCCAGGAATGTTTTAGTGGTCTGGGGATCCACTTAACTGTAAGTTTGCCTTGGCTGCTTGTGGCTCTTGACTTGATGACTGTCGCAACTAGGGGTGTCGCGAACCGGCCGCGGTTCGAGTTCGACCAGGTTCGACCTTTTCGAACTTTTAGTGGAAAGTTCGACGAACCTTGTATCGAGGTTCGACTCGTGTGCGCATGCGCGTCAGGCTGGCTCGTTGGCTTCGGATTGGATGGTAATGGCTAAGGGATGAATTAAGTGCAGCGCTGATTGGCTATTTCAGTTAATACAGTACTAAAAATTAAGTTATTAACTTCTTCAGTGATTAGATTTAGTTTTTTTTAATTGCAGCTGTTCACAAAATAAAATAACCCTTTGCACAAAAAAAAAAAAAATTCTCCAAACCTAGACATGCTTGTATCAAGGGCTGGCCACACTGTCCACAAAGTCGAACCGGTCGATTCTGGCGAAAAGTTCGAAGGTTCGTCGAACCGGTTCGACCCAGTCGAACCCCGAAAGTTCGGCCAAAAAATCTGGTTCGACAAAAGTTCGCGACACCCCTAGTCGCAACCTTGTTGCAAGTCTCACTGCTTACCTTCGGTAACAGCCACGCGGCGGCGTGCCGGTCGCGTAAAGCGAAAGCTCGCGCTGCAGAAGCCAAAGATCCTGGGTTCGATCCACACCCCCGCCTGTCTCGATCTGGATGAGCAGCGTACCGGCGTGCGGACGTGTTATCCCTATACTGCGTGGTGCACGTTAAAGACCCCAGAATAGCGGTTGTACAGTGCACTCAACTGTTAAACATAACGCGGGAGCAGTGGCCGGAGAGACTGCATGCGCCATCTACCGGCTCACTCTGGAAGCTTATGCCGCTGTTGTTTTCGGGAGTTACACTCCCAGCTCCGAAACAATCACCGATGCGTGACTTGGCAATAAAAAAAAAAATAAAAAAATCGCTTTTTGATTTTTTTTGTTGCTGTCTAAAGAATGTGGCCTTTATTAGAGAAACTGCAAGATTACCGAGATATGGTAGCCCGGCATGGTAAATGCGTAGATGTGACTAAACAGACTGGAAAAAAAAATTTAAAGCGTGGGTGATAAAGAAAGGAACGAGGAGGTCTTGTATCGGGGACTGGCGACATTCCCAAGAAGAGCCGGCTTATTCTCTGCCGCATCATTGATTTAATCGCTAGACAGCTCTGCTATCAGTTTCGGCCACCGATCCCGCATTATGTTTAACAGTTGAGCACACTGTACGTACTGCACTGGCTAAATTGCTCATCTACAGCTGGGAGAAAAATCGCCCGTTCAGGCAGACTAAGTTCGAGGCTGTATACACATAGACACAACCCAATCTGTTTTTGTGCCCTTGGTCCTATAACTCAACTGCACGAACCAAATTAGTGTAGCTTTCACCGCTTCTTAAAAACAAAACTGAGCCCAAAAACACACACACAAACACCCTGTATTAGCGATGTGACTGCATACTATAAACAGTAGGAGCTTGTTCTCAGTGAAGGGTTTCTCGTAACTTGAGTAGAATACCTGCACTTCGGTGACGCTCTGACAACCAAGCAGTGCTGTGCTCTGGACACTGTCTGCACGAGTGCTTTTAGCACTACTGATCGTGATGTATGACCAGCTATGATGTATGCTTCAGATTAGATTTTATTGTATAAACAGGTGCTTTTACGTGAAATTATTCCGCTGGGACATTTAGCAGAGTCAATATGGTCCACGTACAGTGGCGTCAAAACAATGAATATAAGGCAACTTGTCTGTGCTCTCGATGTGCGCAATTTAGCCACTACGGTACTACTGCTAACATGGGTCTTTAAGATATGCTACAGCGGCGGTAGTGATCACACGAAAGCACGCCGGTACGATGCTCATTCAGATAGAAACGGGCAAGGGCGGGGATCTAACCGCTGGATTCGGCAGCGCGAGCTTTCGCTCCGTGTGCTCCAAGCTGAGGCAGAGCTTGAGTTGCGAGAAAGACGAAAAGCAACCAGACGCTCGTGCAGCGGGAACACGCGGTCTATTTATTCGATTCCTCAAGAACTGTGTTCAGTGGCACGTCGTCGCTGTACATTTTCGTTAACAACAGGAAACGTTGCCAGAAGATAAAGAGGTAAGCTGATTTCATGCATTACAAGAAAAACGAGCGATGTTCAGTTGTGTTAACTTTACGTAAATGACTGGCTGTAGCTCTCTCTTTTCTTGCTTTCTGTCGGGGTAGCTGTCATGGTGGAGGAGGAACAAACGCTTCCAAAATCGGCGGCCGGGCCTGCAGGAGAACTACCTCTACCACCAGAGGCCCCTCAAGAGGGGTCACCGAAACAGAGCGTTCCGAGCGACCACGTCCCAAGGACTTTTGCTTTTCTGAGCATGTTTGTTTTCCCAGTGGTATACTGCATCGCGTCCATCCTGATCGCACGAGCAATGCGTCAGATCGAGAAGGAATGTCGAAGCGAAGAATGCCAGACAGCATCTCATTACATATCGACATCTGTCGCTGGCCAGATATCTCCCTGCAATGACTTTTACCAGTACACGTGCCAGAACTGGAAGGTGAACTACGCGGAACACTTAACAGCCCAAGTGACACTGTCGAACTTGTCGGATTACTTCAACGGCAGGGGGGTCAACACCGAGAACTTCGAAAAAGCTACCAACACCTATGCGTCTTGCACCGCTTCGTTCGCCAGCGCCAAAGACCAAAGCATCGCCCACATTGTCAACTTTGTCAACGGCAACTTGAACCTGGACTGGCCCAATGAGACGACAAACATCGGAATTACGCAGCTGTACGAAGTCATTATTAAGCTGCAACTACGTTACAATATTTACCCGTTTTTCACTCTCCACTTTAACGACGGCCTCGAAAAGCTTACTATCTCAGCGGCTGGGAGGTACCATCCCTGGTACATGCGCCACCCGCACACAGCTAAACCAACATTCCGCCGTGATCTGATTGCCGGAATCATTGGGGCAATGAGCTCAACCGTGAACCCAGTCGTCGTCGAAAATATAATCAGCATAGAGGATGCCATCAACGACATCAGTACTACCGATGAGGCGCATCTTCTGTCTAAAATAAAGGTATTAGCACAAGACCAGTTCCAGTTTTCATGGAACTTGATGAATGCGATCCGTGACTACCTTCCTCAAGCGCAAAAGAGAATATTTATCGGGAAGACGCTGGCCCATTGGAATCAAGTAGAGGCCCTGAGGAAATCATTTGCTCTGCTCAATGACCTAGGAAACTTGTCGGCCGTGGCCAACTACATCGCTTGGACCGTAATTGAGGTCGTAGGCCGCAGAACGAGCAGGTCCTTGCGGCAGATCATGGTGGCGGTCAGCAGCCAGCATAATGTGGCAAACGTTGCCAAACCTTCTCTTGGTCATAATGTCTGCTATTACCAAACCTATCAACTCTTCGCCCTAGTCCTAGACCGCCAAATTTACCTCAGGATGGACCCCAGTACCATCGCCTTCTTCAACGATGCCATGAAGACTGTGAAGCTCTTCGCAAAAGGTCTGTTAGAAGAGCTCTTCTGGATGGACAAAGAAACCGTGAAACGGTTGCAAAAGCAAGTGGATTTTATCACCACCGACGTCGGCATCATTAAGCGATTCAGGTACGTCGACGTTGAAGACGCCTACGACCACTTGGCGTTCATCGACCAAAACGAGGTGTTCACAAAGAATTATCTCGACATCACGAGTAAACTGAACGACCGCTTGATCGACAAGAATTTTCGCTACACGTACGCCCCGTCACTGTGGTCAATCTATCCTCAAGCTCGGTACGTCGCAGCCTATTGGACGTTCTACATACCCTTCTCCCTCTTAAGGAAGCCGCTCTTCATGATGGGCGACTTTCCACTGGCTATCATATACGGCAGCCTTATCTCTCAAGTGGTAATGCAGTTGTTCATGGAAGGATATCGGAGTCGCAAGCTTTTAACGTGGTCTTTCGCCACGGCGCAGCAGTTTAAAATCTACATGGATTGCTACAACAATGGCTACAGTAACGCGACGCTCGTCCTTGAGGATCCCCCGATGGCTTATTTTAGGTCAACCGCCCTGACCAAAACGTTTCAAATGTACCGTCTGGAAGCCCATAAGAGGGGAAAGAGCTATCGGCTACCGAACTCCAACCTGACGGCGCAGCAGCTCTTCTTCGTGGCCGCGTGTCTGCATATGTGTACCAGGAACCAGGCGGAAGAGGCCGAAAAGGCGGCTTTGTGCAACCTACCATTACGACGTGTCAATGCTTTCTCCAAAGCGTTTGCTTGCGGTCGCAGTCACCAACTCGGAAGGCTGCGCTTGAACTGCTCGCAGTTCAAGATAATTGATGAATTGTTTGCCTTTAAGTTTGAACACGTCATTGAAACGTCGTTGTCGGTTCAAGGCGACGAAAGAGGAGATTGAAGTGCAATAAAATATGGAAATTACTTATCTAAGATCCCGATAGTCCGAGCTCTATATAGGTTCGTATCTCTCAACTAGAGTTTCTGTTTAGGCTCTTAGCTACGGGAGCCACAGTTGCGCGTTTATCCCCGCAGCGCCGTCTTTCCTGCGAAATTGGGGGTTGTGTGTACGTTCATACAGCCTAGAACTTGGTCCGCCTTACAGGGGCGACGAGTCTCCCAGCTGTAGATGAACGCCTTTCCTGCACAGCATGTTAATCCTGCTAATTCGGAGCATAGCGGCGCCGCGCGTTCGAGGCGCGTGGCGCGCTCAAAAGCAGAGGTACGTACTGCGGGGCGCGTGCGACGTCTGCTTTCCTGCAAGGCACTTGATCCGGCTCCTCTCGTGATCGGATCTCGGCGAATAGCGGCGCGGCGGCACGTGGAAAACAGACGCGCAACTCTGGCTCCCGTAGGGAGCTCTACCCTCAACTTTTGAGAAGCGCTCTGGGCGGGAAAAATATGATATTTGTGGGTCGCGTTTTGAACATGCGTCATTACGCTTCCCCACTAGTTTCCTATACTCCGTTCCAAAGTGCGAGCGTAGCAGAGTATTCTAGTACACTGTAGCAGAGACTTGAGCGAGCTCCGAGCTTTCAGCGCCCCTGCCAAGCACGCGCCCTCGTGCAGTGCGAGCATCGTTCAGGGGAACAAGCTTTTGCAAGTAGCTTCGGCTTTGCTACCACGTAAAGTGAAACATACGTGCTCATAGAGAGCATGAAATCAAGCAATACAAATAATAAACCTGAACCGAGTGTTTAATGGGGCGTTAAGGCCCTCGAGCTGCATAATTTTTTTTTTCCTTTTAATTTTATTTTAAACGTTTTGTTATTGCTGATGCTGGCATGTGCTTGTATTCAAACCAGGCATGTGCATAATCAAAGGTTGCAGCGCCACATTTATGGTCGTATGGCCTGGATGGTGCAGCCAGCATAACAAACATGGTCGCGTCTTGCGGGCGCACTCGCGCCCCCTGCCCGAAAGCAACGGGTCCATAGACCGGTCTCACCAAGCGCTGGGCGAATGCATGACGCCGCCATAACCAATGAGCTTGTTAAAGGGACCCTGCAATCAAATTTAAGCGTCTACCTCTTTTGCGGTTTCCACGTCTCTTGGGGTTCGGGCAAGCCAGCGGGCGCGGAGAGAGTAACTAAATATCAGTGCGTCATATTTTAACCGGACAGGGAAACCTCCTCTCTAACCTCCTCCACCGACGAGGGCGACCCGCGGTACCGAAAGCGCGCAAAATGTGACTGACGTCTTTGGTCTTGGGCTTACTACTGGTCAGAACCGCTAAAAGCTTCTTTTTAATCAAAATACAAAATACAAGTGGCGCGAACCGTTTCAATTATGTATGAAAGTAGTTTTCGTTCACTATTCTAGATCAGAAAAGAAACGAATGCAGTTTATAATGTACGGGAACAAGAAATCCTTCGACATACCCGCCACCAAGCAATTCGTCTGACGAAAAAAAAAAAAAAAAAAGACATACCATCGGTATCATATATATTGCTCTGGGAAAATGTCCGTCAGTGTCTCGTAAAAAAAAAAAAAAAAAAACCGCGCCGCCTCTATTACACAAAGGATGTAACAAAACATATATGCTTTATTGGGAGGATCTGACACAAACTCAATCGGCATTGCAGCCGACCGTCGCACAGACGACGTCAAATATATCTTTCCACAGAAAATGGAACAACAAAGCAGCAACGTGGTTAAAGAACACACAGAGGCACATGCCTGCAAGCTTTGGTCAGCGATTGGAAAGTTCGAGAGCAATGCGCATCCATTACATGCAGTACCAAAAGATTTGACTTCCCAAGTGTATGACAGACATGAGCTTGAGCCACGAGCGGTTGTGGTGCTGGATCATTTTCAGGCATCCGGCATTCATCCTATTTGTCTAATTGAGCGTTTTCTCCGAAATGCTGAATCAAGTTGCAGACAAGAACATATGCCATGCATTCGTAATGGTTTTCTTCCTTTTCATTACTATAAGGTAGCTAATTCATCTCAGTAGTCTAGAGTTATAGACGCTTTGGACAGGTGCCAGATTACAGCCGCCACTGCCGACTTTCTCTTGTCTTACCGAGATGCTGAGCCACTGAAACGGGTGTTCAGAAGCATCCACAAAGGCCAAATTTGGCGAGGACACAACCAAATCTAAGACGCAATAACCTGGCATGCTATATGGTAATAATGAAGTGAAGTAAACGAAATAAGAGGAAACAAAAACTGCAGGCCTTTTAATTTCCTGTGCCTCGACTGCCCTTTTAGCCCATATGCTGCTGCGTACCCCGCACCCCCTAAAAAATTAAAAACAATAAACTATTGATACACTATATGAAAATAAAATAACCAATACAATCTTTTTTAATAGATGGTGAGAAGGAGAGACATACTAGAGAGAGGTAACTGTGCACACCCGATTCCACTTTCAATGACCAATTACTCGTACCAGTGGTGCACATTTATGTAGCGGCCTAGGAGGGAAGCACACGAATGGTCAGGCGGATGCGGATGAACCCTTCGAATCGGGTCGGCTGAGGCTACTTAGTTCAATGGGAGCTCCGGTGATTGATAGTCACCACGGTCTGCCTCAATTCACACAGCGAAACACGTCACCCATATTACGGCTTGTAGAGCTGAGCAAGTTGGGTCATGCTTGTTCAAAACGGCTGGTTCAAACTCCAAATTACAAAACACAATATCCGTTTTTTCTTTCAATGTTAGTGAATTTTGAGTATGGTCCGAGAGGTTGCACTGGAAACGTGACGTTAAATGTTGCAATATGGAGGCAGTACAGCTTATTCCCGACAGGCTACAAGAAGACTGATGGTGTGAAATGAATGCTGAAAAAACTCACGCCAGCGAAAAAAAAAAAAAAAAGATAAAGGTGCAGAATACCTTTTTTTAGAATGCTTCCTCGACTTGCAAGTTTTGCCGTTTTGCTATGTCCACACTACGGACGCGCCAATTTTTCGTAACACACACAAACGTACACACAGCAAGCGGAAGAAGCTGTTAAGCTGCCCGTACTCTCAACGAAATCATTCCACTTCTTGCGCTTACACTTGCGTGTGTTGTGAAAGATCGGCAGGATGTGACATCACCCCACTCGAGAGCGCGGGAAAGTTTGAATGTTGGTTTGGTCATAACCTTCACTTGTCACGTTCTCAATAGCTTCTTTTTTTTTTTTTTTTAATTTAGAGATAATGAATAGCATGCCAGGGAAGAGTAAAGCCCAGGTATCCTGAAAATGTGTTTTTGATCAATAGATGGATGTAGCCGATCCCTTTGAATCGGATGGCAGCTTGCGCAACCCGGCAGTGTTATAAATTTCAGCGTTTAATTTTTCGACTGAGCTCGGCCGATGCCACGTGGCATTAGCTCAGCAGCTCGCAGCTCTCTGTCTTCCTCACTCTTTCCAAGTTCTCAGTAGACGCTCCGGCTCCGCTTGAAGTGGTTCCCACTACCACTTTTATGTTCTTTTTATGAAAAAATATATGTCTGAAAGTTGCTAAGGAAAACATTAGCCACCTGTATATTCGTTTCTATTTTGTGTAAAAATTAATAAAATCCACACACCTAAGCACTGCTGGCCAAGTGCCCTATATTCGTTTTCACGTCAAAAACTGCAGTAAAAATTCTTTTCTAATTGCTACCTTTGTGTGACGATTTAAGATACTTTGATGTGCTGATCAGTTATTTTTAGTTTAAGAACCACATTCCAAATGCAAAAACACTCCTTTTCTCTTGCAACAAAACTTTGTAAGCATAACTTTGTGCAGTGTAGAAACCACATATATGTGCAAAACTCGCTTTCTTGCTTGTGCAGAAAAGCGAAAAGTGAACGAGCATTTTTTTTTTTCTTTTAGGGGTAAATGTTAAACACTATTCTCAAATTACATTTACCGATAAAAGCAACAGGCCAGACAAAATGCAAGGGAGACTGCCCCAAAATACCTCCAGATCGAAACAGACAATATATATTACGTAAAACACAACATCACATATAAAGTTAAGCACCGTGCACATCTAGAAACAACAAAGAGCACATCTAGAAACAACAAAGGTTCAAACAGCTTAGCAACCGCTGATAAGGGCCGTTTTCCCAGACACGTGAGCCTCTGCCTTGTACCGTGCACAGCTCTTATGCCAGAAGGATGCAATATCTTACAGCCACTACGCCTTGAAAACATCATAAAACTAAAATTTCATGTTGCTATTGCTTCTTACTTTTTTTTTTTAAAAAGGGGGATTTTTTTATTAATTTGAGGACAAAGTTACGGTCAGTGCGCAGGCGAGCTGATAGAAGTTTACCATGATTACTTTAACCCGAAACTAGGGCAGACAGAGGAAATTTTTTTGCAGTTGAAGAGAAAGTAACAGGGACAGGCAGCACTTCTAACTCAGCTAATAATTATATTCAACCAACCTCCTTATATACAGAACTACAATCAGAACCATTGTAGTTCTGTATATAAGGGGGCTGGTTGTATGAAATTATTAGCCGAGTTAGAGACACTGTCTGTCCCTGTTAGTTGCCCTTCAACTGTAAGAAAAGTTCCTCCTTCTGCCCCAGTCTCGGGTTAAAATCATGATAAATTTGAGGATGTTTTTTGGGTTTGTTTTTTTTCGCCAGATTCTGTGTTTTCCCCAATTTTGCTAAAAACTTGCCCCGGGGGGTTATTTTTCTATGCTTGTTGGCAGATACCAAAAACACAAAACGTTACTTACAACAAATACCACCAAAGGGCACATAGGAACAGGAGGGCCCCACACATATAATCGCTTTTAGAGCCCAAAGCAACAAAAAGACACATCTTTTTTTTTTTTTTTTTTCGTAACTGCTGCGTTTGGCAAGAGACAGAGGCCCACTCGTCTGCCAGGAAAGGACACTGGACTTAATACCGGAACACCTCGACATCTTCCGTTTGTAAATAAAGTGCACCCAAGAGCCACCTCAGAAAGGCAGACTGGTTTTGTCCCTCGTAAAAGGTGCATCAGGAGTGACACTACGATTGTTTTGCAACCGAGGAACCTAGAGCCCCGTGCTTTGTCGTAAAAAACAAACTTTTATCGCCGAGGCCTTCAAATGCTGCAAAAAAATGAACTGACCAAAAGGGGTGTCCTCTTTCCGGAGCGACGTACTGTCGCCAAAAACATCCATCGTTTAGACCGTCACAACCAAAAAGCCCCTCTATAACAGGGACAGCTATGCATACAATGTCTAGGTAAAAGAAATGCAATTCAACAGCAACAAAGAAGCAGTTAGCATACAGTCAACAATGCTTTCTGTCTATATAGTAACCGACAGAATGAGAGCAGCGGGTCATCTCTTTCTGACGCCTGGCCTCCAGCCTGCGCCGTTTGCCTTCCACTGTGCTTTGGCTGCGCGTGCACGCTCAAGGCTTACTGGATGCCCAAGCATTACCGAAGGCAGGAGGCTCACGCTGGAAGCAGGACATCTGAAAGACCTCCCTGCCGTTCTAGTCCTGTCGGCAATCATATCAGTTATACCGCAAATTGCACTAGGAAAATAAATTTTGCGATTTTAATTGAGGGTGCAAATGCAAAAATAAGACATGTAGAAGAAATAAAAAGCATCTTGTAATTGATGTGCTCACGTGGTAATAAACCGGGTTTCTTGATTCAGCCCGTGGAGATGACGCACAGTTTGAAGAAGATAAATGAATACCTATACACTCTTGCATTACAGCTTGTTGCAAAACCTAATGTGGTGAGAAGCGAGCGTTGATGCCTGGTTCTTTCGAACGGGCCGCCGATTTCTGTCATCCAGTTGATTGTGGCAACAAAGTTAGAGGTTGTGATCAGGAGTGCTTTGGCGAGTCATTTTTAATAAAAGAAAACCTGCCTATAATAAAAACAGTTTTTTTTTTGGAAAATAATTTCTGTTATATTAGCACCTCAAATACTCATACATTATTCATAAACATACTTTGCAAATTAAACTCGAGGAAGAAAACCAGAAGGGACGGACAAACCTTTGTGTTTGTCCGTCCCTTCTCGTTTTCTTCCATAAGTTTAATTATCCCTACCAACCCGCTCGTTCTGTCCATACTTTGCAACCCTTCACAACATTCATATCTTTGCTACGGACAGGTTCTTCGACATCATATTTACAGTACATTTGGCATTGCTACATATTAAGCCGGTAAATGCCACGCATAGTAGCACAATTATAGCAAACAATGGATTACTTTGCTCACACCGCAGAGAGAGCAAACATAGCGTACAAAATTTATGTCAAGAATACAGAGAATGGTCTACTGCGAGACTCTCTCTCTACTCTAGTCATGTTCTGCCCTGAGAGTGGCTTGGCTTATTTGACACAGGCCAATTGGTCCCCCTTTGTAGATGGGACTAGAAGTGAAGTACTAAGACAAAACATAACAATGAGTCGGTGGAGAGTTCTTCAACCTAGAGCCATTAACTAAGCTACGCTTCACAGTAACGACGCGTCGGCCATCTTGTTGCTCGAACCAGTTGCCAGTTAATCCGACGTTCTATCTGGGAACGCAGGAAACGCTCTTCCGTCCTCCAGAAATGTTAAAACAGTTCGTGACGAAGCAAAATTATATTGTCCAAGCTTCCCGAACCCCGCATACAGTTATTAAAAGCATATTTTCGAATTGTAACTATTACCAATCGCGCCCCATCTACACTAGGCAACAAAATGGCGGCACCCACGGGAAACTCGAGGAACGAAGGGCCGATACTCAAAACTTAGCTTGTCTAGCGGCTCTACTTCAACCCATTCTTAGAGAGCATTAATGACAATGCATGTGGCAGTGCCTGCCAGAAAAAAAATTTTCAGACAGGTTGCACGGTCAGATGGGAACGGCTGTGAATGCTACAACACGGGCCGTTACACGGGGTTGCCAGGTCGGAAACCACGCTTCTCCATGTAAGCCACGAGCTGGTTCGGCACCTCCGCCAGCACTTCCTTAGCAAGCCGTGCCTTGGACTCCACTGGGTTTTGGTTGCCCAGGAAATCGCGAAATGCCACAAACTGCGACGAGAGAAAAAAAAATGAATGGATGAATGGTGTCGGCTACACCCTTTGTGTCGGGCAGTGGCTTGCGCCGTCTAGAACTGATAAAGAACATTTGGATTTATCCCCCTTAAACCTGCATGAAATTCTGCCTCTCTATCTAATCTAATACATCAGTTGGCACTCACTCAGCCCACAAGCCCTTTAGTCTGATGAAATTTATTTAGAGTTTTACTCAGGTAAGTGCCTCATACAATGGTTGTTCTTGGTCACCATCAGAACTGATAAAAAAACTCTACAGTGAAGACCACTTGCCTATCTGCCGTTGATGTACAAAAAGTGACAGTGCTTGACGATGTACAAGTACATATTTACAGCTGTTAGCATATGAAAAGCTTGACTGATATTTTATATACTAGATATCAACTAATTTCTAAAGGGGTCTACTGGTTCAGGAGTAGAATAATCGTACGACATGCTTTGCTAAACTCACCTGAACAATGTCCCGTTCTGCAACTCGGCCTTGTGAGGTGATGCGTACGTTGTCACCGTCGAGCTCATTCATGGCTGAAAGGCAATTTGATATTGTTCAGTTCAGTTTCAAACCTACGTTGCACAGACAAAACCATCATCATAATGGAGGAGTCGCAGTCAACGTCCATATAGAAACACGTTTCGAAATCCATCCTAGTTCAAAACGTATATATTGCGCCAAAATAAGTTTTTAATGCAAAAGCATTAACTGTATCATGGAGCGAGACGACGTCATCAGCTTTGAAACCATGTCAAACGACTCTTAAATCCTTCTCCAAGTCAAGCCAGCTCCCAGCTATGAAACTAACCACGTGCAAAGCTAGCCACGGCACGATTTACACCGCTTCGATCCCATTGGCTAGCATGCATCTACCAGGCTCCAATTCGCCGGACATGCAGCGCCATAGGGCGGCTGGTCGTTGAAACAGACGCTGCGCGTCAGTTTCAACGACCAGCCACGTCAGGGCGCTGTGTGTCTGTCAGCGCCAGTTAGCACGCCAACACACGTAGAGCAAGAATGATGTACATGCTTTCGCATTCATAACTCATAAGAAGTGCTTAGATGTACCTCAATCTTTCTTTTTTTTGGGGGGGGGGAGAGGGGAGGGGGGCGGGGGCATTTTTTTTTACTTTATTTTCTTACACATGACCTATTCAGGTAGTTAACAAAAAAGAAAAAAAAGCTTTTGGGAGTCCAGTACCCCTTTAAAAAGATCATGAAATGGAACCTTTCTCTGCCTTGTTAAACGGACGCCAGCAAAGTTAGTTAAAAGCAAACTGCTCACCGCCAAAATCGGCGTTACCAATGCCGACAATGATGATGGACATGGGGAGCACAGAGGCGCGAACTATGGCGTCCTTGGTGTGCGCCATGTCCGTAATCTCTCCGTCCGTGATGATGAGAAGCACAAAGTAGTGCCGACCGTCCTGGTACGATGTGGCAAACCTGCACAGTATGGGCGAGCAGTCTTCTTCCAGCAGCTCTTTGCTGGGAAACAATACAATAAAAATGACTGCATAACAGTTTCATGGAAAGCATATGCCAGTGAGTCACAAGAGAGAATGGCACCTGCCTTAACAACCTCGATATCCACACGCACAAAGCCACCCTCTTTGTCAGCATAAAGCAACACCGAGAACACATTCATTGAAATGCGCTGATGGCAGTTCCAATGTGCTTTAGTATCGAATTGAGCAGTGTGCACTTTAGAGTACCATATTTTCCGGACTACAGTCTGCAAATGGCTCGCAGGGGCCAATTTCAGACGAAAGAAAAGTTTTCCCCAAGTCTGCGCCCGGTGCATTGTCTGCAAGTAAATAATTCCAATACACACCTTAGCAAATGCCTGCCTTACTAGCTTGCAAAGAACCTTGCATCATGCACAAATCATCATTAACATATGTAATTCTTGTAATTTGTTGCATCTCATCATATTTAAGGGTTAACAAGAAACAGTCCACACAGCACAAGATGTAACTTGTCAGGTAACATGTACAGTGTATTGAACTCCCTTTCACCGCAAACTCCTCATTCGGAAATATAAGGTCAGGAGCTTAAAACAGCACCAAAGTGCAGGGGACAAGTGGCCTCGCAGAGTGCCAAGGGTTGCTAATTACCAATGGACTGCTCTCAAAATTCAGTGCCATCTGGTGGCTCAGAAAGCAGTTTCACCTTCGATAAACTAATAGGGGTCATGAAACTGTATTTAATAGAGCACTTCTGTGCAACATTAATTTTTTCTCGATTCGCTTCAGCTGCGATGGTGCGAACATAAGAACCAACCAGAACGAAGCGGCGACACGAAAACCCCTCGATTAAGCTTTTGCCATCAAAAGGCATCAGAGTCTAACTCGTAACAAGAGATTGATTGAACCGCACTTTGAAATAATCACTTCCGCAGCCGTCGTATTTAATTCATGCATCGTGTTGCGCACGACGCTTGAACGCACATGTCTCGCATATCCTCCGCTTGGTAGCATCTTAAACGTCTTCCTTCATTGGCCTCAAGAAGGCCGCCATTAGTTTGACACAAATGCCATTCACTGAGGTCACGGAGGTAGGAAGCTTCTGGAGGCGACATGACGCCACCAGAGGTGAAGCCAGAAGTGTGCAGGAGCACGCCCCCAATGACAACCAAAACCAAGAGACGCTATTGGACAAAAAAGGAAAGCTGACTTGGCGCCAACAGCTGTTTTGGTCATCCTCGAGCACCATCGTTTGGGGGCGTGTCCCTCCACACTTCTGACCTTGCCTGTGGTGGCGTCACGTCGCCTCCAGAAGCTTTCTACATCAATGATTGAGATGATAATAGTGACCAAAGTTGCCAAACTAAATTTTGAAAAGGGTCCATTTCGGGAGACTGCGCCGGTCGCCCACCTTGACACGTGGTTGATGACGGGAGAGAAGTTGGTGGGTCCGTAGAGCTGAACCGTGTGCAGTGTCCGCTGGTAGGCCTCCAAGATCCCTTGCACGCCGGAACAGTATGGGCTGCTGGGATTGCCGTTCTGCATTCCACCAAGGAGACCGCGGACCTCTGGTGTAACGAAACTGTTCATTCTAATATCGTTGCACGCATGGTGAAGATGGCACATACAATATCACACGATAGAACCTTGAAAGTGCGCCTCCGACACTTGCTTACAATGCCTTCGAGCAAAATCTAAAGTCTCGGGATCAAGCTTCCGACTTCCGTAGTGTACTAAACTGACAGCATTGTAAACGTAAAACTTAATATTGCATATACTTCAGCTGGGAAGTACCGTATTTACACGAATGTAGGTTCACCCATTTTTTCAATTTTTGAAAATCTGAAGTCCAGTTATAATTGAACCAAAACATTCCACCGCCGACAAAAACGAAACTATCGCGATATCAAGAACACCTCGGCCTGTTACGAGGTCAGCCAGCTGTACCTGTAGCATTGTGCAATTCTGTGCGCTCATTTTACAAATTCTTTTATTTTATTTGCGCGAATGAGTATTATTGATAGCGATTCGCAAAGGAACCCAAGCATACGGTGGTGAACAGCGCACGGCCAATTTTACCTAGAAGACAAGGCTTGCGCATGACGTTTCGTTAGTAGATCCCCAACTTGCCCCAAGAGGCAAACGGGCTGAAGCTTGACGAGATGACGAGAGTAAGGGCCGTGTCACAGCTACATCGCATTCACTGGTGGCCACAGCTGTGCGCGCGCGACTGCTCAGCGCGAACTGATAGCGAGCTTCCACAGTTCATTTGGAACGTGCACGCGACACCATCGAGATTGCCGGTCCTAGCAGCCTATTCATGTGAGCTCGTTCTGAGCATGCGCTCTATACTCCGTTCAATGCTACAAGCGCGAGCCTGCACGCGCCTTTGGATTTGAGACGCGCGCTTCTAGCGCTCGCGCTCGTTCTGCGGAAGAACGCTTCAAAGCAGTGACCTCGAGCTCTCGTGCTTGTGGAGTTGGCTGCGTTCTCTGGTTAAGAGTGAATGGAGCATAAACAGCGCCCTGGTAAAAATGGCGTCCAGTGCCAGCGTCCAGTGAAGGGCTTCGCAGATCTTCGCACAGCGGTAAGATATTTTCAATCATGTATTCGACGCTACATGTTAACGTCTAACTTCATTGTATGCTATTGCAACAGACATTCGGCGTGAGCATCTCTTTCATTATCTGCTACACAAACCACTGAAGCAGGCAATGGAACAGACCATGCCACAGACGATGTAGCAGACGATGGTGCTCATCCGGGCTACCTAGGGGGCGCTGAGGGGATCTACTAGCGACGACGTCTAGAGGAGGAGACGCGCAGGCATTGTCCTCTAGATGGTATTGGAACCGCGCGTCCGACTCCCGGGGGTTGCAGCGATTCTTGTAAGAGCCATTCCACAGGTTGCTGGAACAGCCTCGTGGCTCACACCCCGCGGCTTCTTTTCAAAGTTTTTCGGACAATTCACGATCGCATGTCGTCTGATCAAGTGTCGAGATCATGCCGGAGCGCTAACTACGTTTTTTGTAGTGTGAGCTACACTGGCCGAGGTTGAGCAGTTTTGCGTGGCTCCTCGAGAGTCGTGCTGCGCATGCGCGAGGAGCAGTGACGTCACACGGCGCACAGCTGGCGTGCCGGAGCAGCCGCCGCTGCGCTCTCCGCCGCCGTCGCGCGCGCCTCGCCGGTCTGCGCATTTCAGAGTGACGTCATAGCTGCGGCAGGTTCACTGGCGCCAAAGCGTTCCCAGCTGTGCGCCTCTGTTGCACAGTAGCCAAGTCTGACGCTGCACCGGAGCCGCTTGATCGCACCTCTCATTTTGTGCGCATGCACAGAGGTATCGGTGGGGGTATACATATAGCGGGGCATTTGCCAGTGTGGTATAGCCATGAAGAAGGAGAGCGAAATTGCTGCTCAGCGGCGCAGAAGAGCGGAGAAGCTTAACTCATCGGATCCGGAAGTAGTTGCCTGGCAATTAGCGGCTGAGCGTAGGAAGAACGAACAGAAGAAGGCTAAACGCGCTGCGGAGACATCGCAGCAAAGGGAGGAACGTCTAGCAAAGCAGCGTCGCCAGGAGGCTGAGCGACATGCCCGACCGCTCATGCTACGTATACCCTGGCATAGCTGAGCTAAGCCACTGCAATTTTTTTGTATTGACACGCATGATCCGGGCAGTTTAGGTTTTCGGTGCTCGTTTATGGCCATTCTTCACCCCGAAGCAACCAACAAGTGCGCTGTTGGACGCAAGTTCAACCCGTCAGAGCGGGTGATGCTCCAGTGCAGTCTGCAATGGCGCAGGATCTTAAACTGTGACAGCAAACGAAGAGGCTTCAGCGGACCAAAGCCTGGATAGGTTGCAACGTATGCCACAAAAGTGCGCAATCGGTCCCTACCTGTGACGTGCAACGCGATTGCCGAGCAAGCGCTGAAGATGCGGTTGATGCTGTCATTTTTTAAAGGGTAAAGCTATACGCACGAGCTCACGTACCTCGACCGGAATAGCTATATGCGGACGCGCAACTTGTATAAAACGATGGGTTACAATGAGTTTGCAAAGTGGTAGCATAGCTTAGTAGTAAGGTGTCTGCTTTATACGCAGCGGACCCCGGTTCTATCCACAGAATGGGCTTACTTTTTTATTATTTTTTCTCAAAACTTTTTCTTTGGCAATATTTACAACTTTTTTTTTCTTTTTTTTTAAATTACCACTAGAAAAAAAAAAAAATGTTGTCGACGAAACTTTGCTGAACTAAATGTTATGGGACTCCCTTTCCGGAGGGGCAGTGGGGGGACAGCAAGGCTTGGGATAGTTTTGTATAGTTTTGTAATGAGCAGTAGCAAACTGTCGCCGCGAAGCGGCATGAACACAGGGGGGGGGGGGGGGGGGGGGGCGGCTTGACAAGCTCTTCAGTGATACATGCGCCATCCGAAAAGGGTGACCCAGATGGCAAGAGCTCTCTGCGTCTTGCGTATAACCATTTTCAGTCGAGGTGCATGAGCTCGAGCGTATAGCTTTACTCTTTGTGAAGTGTGATATTTTGTTAAACGATGCCGACGATGTACTTCGAGAACGTAGCAGTGATGACGACATGACTGACACCACCTGTGCGGACGAGTTGTAGCCTAGTCGCGGATGGCGTGAGAACGACAGGGAGCGGCTTCAGTTATCCCACCTCCAGCGTGAACTTCCTAGTTTCGATAACTCCTAAGCATCTCATGCACCTCGCATGTGCATGCGCAGCCGAAGCATGCCAGAAGGCATTGATAGCGTGTTGAAGGCTGGGCTTTCGAAACAGACACTTTGCCATTCTGATTTGTTCACTACAAAATGCGCATCTAAAGATTTTCTTTTTTCTGATATGCAATGCGGGGGCTGACTTACAATCGTGTAAATACGGCACTGGAAAGAAACATCCAGGTCAAGGTTTGAAATAAGGCAAAGTCCTCAAACATTTAAAACATTTTGATTTTGAAGAAGCTGCCTTCGGTGGTGGCTGACGAACCCCTACCGATGTCGGCTACTGTGCAATGAAGCAGCGCATAAGCCTAGATCTCGTCAAGAATAGACGAATTTAAGAGAGTGTTTGCCTCACAGCTATGCATCAGTGAGTGGCTGGGATCTGCTAAAACAGGGAAGAACGTTGGGAAGAGTAAGGGCAGAGAAAGCAGGGGAGCTTGGGGAATTTGGGGAACCCGTGAGGGTGTTCTGGGGTACCCCTAGGTTCCTAGGAACCCAGTTTAAAAACCCATATTCTAACTCAAAGGGGAAAAAAAAAAGAAAGTCTCTGAACTGACCAGGAAAAACTCATGGGACACCTCGCCGGTGGGCGGCAGGCGGGCGCCAAAGCCGAGCGCTGGGAACATCTTGTCAGCGTCGTAGTCCTGGATGATGTCTCCCACCGCCTGGATGGCAAGTGTGTAGACGTTGGCCTGCTGGCCCATGTAGTGCAGGGACTGGGGGGTGCGGGGGTCACCATTGGACGCCGTGAAGTCCACCGCCACCGTGAAATGCAGCTGCGTCCTGCGCCGAAATCGACGATACGCTGGCTCGTCCGTCTCTTTGTGTGCCTGCTGCTCCCTGTGTAAACTGTAGCTTTCTTACTTTGCAGAGTTTTTCGACTGACAATTGCTGCTGTCTACTGATGATTGCTGCTTGCATGCTTGCAAAGTTTACTACCAGGGTTAGAACCAGTGAGACATTCTGTACTGTCGCATGCTCATAAAATTAATCGTGACGGTGAACCTTGTGCACTACCGCCATAAGCATCTAAACTCATTGTGAAAAAACAGTGCGAAGCAGACAAGGTCAAAAAGGGAGGAAAACACTCCTCGATCACAGTGTCATCTATACATACAAATAAGAAATCAGTTGCTAGTCAGCGTTTGTCCTGCGTAGTCCTCCTTTTTTGTCCTTGTCTCTTTCGTGCTGCCTGGTCACGATGAACTCATACCAACTTGCCCAATTGTCTATTCTACTAAGCATCTAAACGACCGTGCCTTAAATGCATAAAGTGAATACCCTTTTTGGATGTAGTCCAGAAAAGTTGGTTGCTCATGCACTGCACAGTTCATCAGTGTCACCTACGAAAAAAATAACCAAAAAGACAGGCAATGTCAATCTGTCCTAGGCTGTTTGTTCAAATGTAAAACAGTGATCACTCACAGTGCCAGAGTTTTTGTAGCCTTGCTTAGACGTCTTCTTTGGATTGATGCACTGTGAGGAAAATTCATAAAGTGAAGGTCACGGTTGGTTGCCCCACACATACTGGAACCACGCTGTTTATTATACCAACGTTAAACACAACTATCCTTTTTGCCGAAATCCCCGCTTTCATGTGCATCCCCCAGAGCACATGCAAAGTGCTATTTGTTTCAGGTTTTTGCTTTAGATGGGTTACCGCTGCAAACGCCGGCACGTGCAGCGCATATAACTGCACTCCCAGCATGCTCTTAGGAGCCTTTGTAATTTAGCAAAAGGTCTATTATACATGAAAAAAAATATTGCTGGGGAAATGCAAACTGGCGGTTAGCATTTTGCTAAAAGGCTAATCCAAGAGAACAAATCCACAGAATGTGCTAGGCTCACCTGGTAGACATTTTCAGCACAGGGACCCTTCTGCAGGGTCCGCAGGGTGCAGGAGAACTCCCCTATCAGGTCGTGGCTGCTGCAAGGGGAGACATGAGAATTGCCCCGCCCTCACGCCACCGGCCCATATTTTCCTCTGTGGCCAGTCAAACTGGGCAGTTTAAAACACAAGTTTCCTGGGCGTACCAAAATATTAGGCTACCAAAAAGCTAAGTACCCCATTTTACTTCCATGTGGCATATGTGCCTGTGAGGCTTGTAATTATCTTGCCTTTGTGCTTGCCTGACACGGGTTTGTCTGACACAAGTTTGTCTGACATGGGCTCATATGGCATATGTGCTTATATGGCAAATGCTCGTATGCATGTGCTTGCATTGCATGTGCTTATAAGGCATTAAATAGCACATGCCTGAATGACATGTGCATGTGTGGCACGTGCATGTGTGGCACGTGCATTGTGTGTGCCATGCGCATGCACATCATATGAGTGTGTATCTGCAGCCGACACTACAATCCACCCCAGCCAGTCCGACTCCATAAATGTATCATGTGCTAAGCACCCCGCATGTCACTGCACATCTTCTTAAAGGTTCTGTGACATTCACACAGCACTGGATTGGCTTCAGCGGCTCGCAGTGTACGCTGCGGTCCGTCACAAGGTGAAATATTTTTCACCTTGTGACCTTGCGTCAAACCCGTTTATATCGAACTCGTAAGAAAAACGTCTATTAGTTCGATATAGCGGGTAATTCAATATAAAAGTTTTAATGAATTTGACTCTCAAAAATCCACTTTCTGCTGACATATTACACAATGAAATTGTCGCATATTCTGGTGCTTTTTCTTCATTGCATCCACAATAACAATATTTTTCTACACTATCGGCGGACTACAAAATGCTGAGGCCGCCGCCTTCTATATTCGCGCATCAGCGCCAAACTATGCTGAGAGCACGGAGCACGTCTGACCAGGAGCACCATCTCCTGCAGAGCGCGCCATTTTGCTCTGCAAGTTGGCTTTCCCCTACGGCAGGCGCTGGCATTTGGGGGAAAGCCAGCTTGCAGAGCATGCTGGCTTTCTTTTTTTTTTTGTTTCCCAGGCAAACGCATCAAATGCCCGGAAGAAAAAAAAAAAAAAAAAAAACCAGCGTGCTCTGCAAGCTGGCCTTCCTCCAAGCGCAGCCACCTTCCTTAGGGAAAGCCAACTTGCAGAGCAAAACGGCGCTCTTGGCAGTTCGATATATTGGTAGCGGCTGCTATTTTTGTTTGATGTAACCATAGTTTAACTTTTTGCTATATATTATCACTGTTACATTACTGTGCACAAAAATTATTCCATATAAGGGATAATTCAAAGTAAACAGGTTCGATATAGTCGGGTTTGACTGTATGGCATACTGCAGTGAAGTGGTTGTCAGATAGAGCTCCGCATATCCTTTCAAGTCCCTGAAACGTATAAATAAAAAAAATAGGATCTTTAAAAAATTTCAGAAGACTCGCGATAACAGCATATTTAAAGAATGTAAGCAGTACAGGAATGCACTGAACCGTGACATTAAGAAGGCGAAAGCGCAGTATCATATTAGTAAATTCGACAATCTTCGAAATGATCCAAAACGTACCTGGAGTGCCCTAAAATCTATTATAATGCCAAATTCTAAGTCTGCCACTATAAATGAACTGCGAATGGGGTCCGATGTCTACAGAGGACGTGACATGGCTAATGCAATAAATGAATATTTTATAAACGTTGGTGCCTACAATGGTAAAAATACGACCGGACCTGAGACCCTCGCGCAAACGCACCTGAAGCATACAATTATGCTATATCCTGTTACTTCCACTGAAGTTGAAGCGATAATAAGGACTTTGAAAAATAAGGGCTCCTGTGGAGATGATAATATAAAAGTTGCACCAATTAAACACGTGTCTTCCTTGATAAGTAAGCCACTAGAACACATAGCAAACCTTATGTTTGAAAGTGATACTTTCCCAAGTCCGTTAAAAACTGCGAGAGTAACTGTAATACATAAAAGTGGCGACAAAGATAACATCAGTAACTATCGTCCGATTTCTATACTCCCAATTCTATCCAAGCTTTTTGAAAATCTAATAAATAACAGAGTACGAAATTTTCTAACATCTTTCTCGGCACTCTCGCCAGCACAGTACGGGTTTCAAAAAGGCAAATCAACTGAGCATGCACTATTGCACATCAAAGATAAGATTCTAAATAATTTTGAAAACAAGTTGCTTACACTTGGAGTATACTTGGATTTCCGAAAAGCGTTCGATAGCATCAATCATGACGTCTTATTACACAAACTGCCTCACTATGGCATTAGGGGAAAGGCCCTAGATTTAATAAGTAGCTTTCTGCAAAATCGCGAACAATATGTACAAATCAATGGTATTTGTTCCGACCACATGACACTTAAGTATGGGGTTCCGCAGGGTTCCATTTTAGGACCGTTACTTTTTATTATCTACCTTAACGACATAGTCAACATCGCAAACTCTCCAAGTTTAATTATGTACGCAGATGATACCAGTCTCTTTTTTCTGGCACTACTATTGACGTCATTGAACGCGATGCAAATAATTATTTACGAACTTTAAACAGCTGGCTGGAGGCAAATAAAATGCAACTAAACACTAAGAAGACAAAATATATGCTATTCAGGGCAAAAAATAAAAAGATTGCCAGACAACCACGCTTGAAAATAAATGACTGCACTATAGAACAAATATCTGACTGCAAGTTTTTAGGTGTATGGTTCAATGACCAATTATCTTGGACTACACAGACCATGAACATCAAGAAAGAGTTATCTAGAGCTATAGGAGCCATTTATAAAACAAGGGATATCTTGCCTACCTGGCTAAATATTATACTTTGTTTTATCAAAAACTGTATTATTGCTTTCTAGTATGGGGTACCACTTGCAAAACAAACTATAATGGGCTCATTTGTTTACAACAACGCATAATACGAATTGTTTCCAGCGCAAAATACGATAGCAATGCTAATGAATTACTTGAAAAACTTAACATCTTACCGCTCAATAGGCTATACCACTATAAACTTGGACAGCTAGTTCATGCAAAAGGAATAAATAGCTTTGATTTAATTCCCTCAAATCTAACGGACTATAACCTAAGGGTAAAGTCACCTTACAAACTACCACGAACTAGGACGAATTACGGCAACCAAAAGATCAACTTCCAAATACCCCAACTCTTAAACGCTCTAGACAACAACGTATTGCTTGCCGGCACCACAGGGGCTTTTAAAAAACAGCTTCGCTCCTTCTTGGTCGAACATGAGATACGTATTGTGTAAATATAAATATACTAATGGTTTTTACTTTTGCCTGCATGTGTTTTTATTGTTTTAAAGGTGAATTATGGGAAAGGAGTTTTTTTCCTGACCATTTTTTATTTGTCACTGTTTTAGATTGTCTTTTTGACTGACGACCGTAAAATATATGGTACTTTTTAATCGTGGAATGCTTTCCATACACAAGCATTATACTCATTTTTTACACTATGTACTTTGTACTATGTAATTCATGCGTATACTCATTTTTACATAGTATACTTTATAGGCCTTTTTTTTTTTTTTTTGCTGTCTTATTTACATATTGTGTTTCTTCTCTATCACTCCCTAACAATGTCTAATGGCGGGCGGTGTGATTTATGGTGCTTCCTGGTGTTGTTTGTACGCATATGTATTTTTTTTTTTTTTGCCTTGTATGATGTCTGGGTGTTATCACGATGTTGTGTTACTGTATATTTCTGCATGCGCGGATTCTTTTTTTTTTTTTTTTTTTTTTTGCTTTTTGCTTTTTTTGTATTGGTTGCTGGATTTTGCTGTCCTTGCCGGCCGCTGGCACCTCGTCAGGCAACCTGTTTGCCTTTTGTGCCAGCGGACCGTTCAAGTCGAATTTGTATTTGACTTGAAAAAATAAAATGATTGATTGATTGATTGATTGAAGGCCATTTTGGTCCCTCAAACCATAGACCACCAGACAAGCCGAACACTGGCTGTTGAAACTATATAGACAGAACGAGTAGGGTGGATTTTTCTCTATTTAAGGGCTGCAAAAATGATTTCCATGCATTCAAATTCCTTCATTTACCTTTTTGTCATTGCAATCATTCAATACCCCCCCTTCCCCTTGTAGATAGGGTCCCCCAATCACTTCTGCCAATCCAGAAGTGGTCTCCGAAACACCAGTGGTTGATAACCACTGTTGCCGCGTATGAATGTCTGGCATATGAAAGTGTGGCACCTGAATGTATGGCACATCAAAGCATGGCATGTGAATGTATGGCACATGAATGTATGACATGTGAATGTGAGACCTGTGAGTAGCACAAACTTCAGCATGCATTTCTGATGAAAGGGGTGGGTAGGTCTTACCACCCACGTATCGTTTGCTCCCGGCCAAAGACCCCGAAAATCCCTGCTCCAAAGCCTGCACCATGCACCCACCTGCCGTCGCTGTCCCAGTCGTAGCACTGCACCTTCAGAGGCCGGTCGGGGTCCCCGCTGCAGAGCGTGGTGCTCTTGATCACGCACGGCCGCCACGTGGGACTCAGATTGTTCTTGACCACCTCGGTCTTGTGCACCGTCGTGAAGCTGCCAAAGAATGCAGGCAATCACAATAAAGGCCAGTTCGTGCATTTGCGTACGAGCGAGACCGACCATGCCGTGACCACGTACGGCGAAAGAGAACAGACCACAGAGCAGTGGAACACGCCGACACACCCTGGCACCAAATGTCGGGTAGCCCTGGAAGTGTGCACAACTAGACCGAAGGTTTTACAGTGTTTGTGAAAGTGAATCTATAAACTATCTACGAAAAATGGTTGCCTATAACATTGACAAAAGCATTTTGAACCCACAATAGAATAAATGTGCATGTACCCAGTGTCCTTGGGGCCACCTGATGGATGCTGCCAGCGTGGTCTCTTGTCGTGAGCAGATGCAACCTGCTTGGCCAGACTCAAACACAAATCTGTGCACCAGCCTTAACCGTTGACGTCTGTGTCAGTTTGCTCCTCTTCCCAATTTCAGCAGAATCTGGTAATGCAAGTTGATGGCTTTACGAGGCATTAGTGGCATAGCCAGGAATTATTTAGGGGGGGGGGGGGAAGTTGTTGGAATTTTTATAGGAAGACGAGAGAGGGCAAGGCAAGGGGGGTGGAGGTGGGGCAAAGCGAGGAGAGACTGCCTATGCCACTGCAAGGCAGTCTCGAAGTGAAACTACCTCAGAATGTTAAATAGCCAACCCCAGAATGTTAAGAAGTTACAGTAAAAAGACAAAATGGAAAAGAACTCGACAGGCAACGGATCACACCTCCCATCTTCGTTGGACTTGAAGAAGACCAAAAAGGGATCCGACTTTCCCCAGAAATCTTTCTTGTCCAACTTCTTGGCTGACCACTGCATTGTCACCACTTCCTGAAAGCAAGAAGCCACGACAAAAGATTTAGAGTGAATTTGAGGCCCACCAGAACCACTAACACTTAGAACCACAATGAGAACCACCATGACAACCTGACCCACTACGTTTGCATTTAATAAGATGGCAGGCTCCCATTGGCTGGCGAAATCAAACAGGTGGACTGCGGTAGACCCATCTGTCACTGAATAAGAGGAACTATGTGAATGGTGAATATTGTAGGCATTAACAGGAGAATAGGCAACCACAGCCAAAACCAGACAAACTATGAATGTGAGTTGTTGTTGTACCTTTAGGTTTGCTTGTGAACAATATACAATTTGAGGATGCCAACATATCACTTTTTTTTTTGTTGATATTACGGCAATGTACAGTAGGCTCATGATAATTCAAACTCTCATATTTCATACTTTTGGTTATCCCACCATATTTTTTTAATTTATTCATAAGCCGCTTAATTCGAAAGGCGTTTTCGTGTAATTCATACTTTCTGTTCTCGCGGCTCCATTGAGTGCGCTTCTTTCCGAGCATGGGTGCACTGCAGGGAATCAACACCCGCAGAGCTTGCTTCCGCGGGTGTTACTTCTCTGCGGTGCACCAGTGCTCGGTAAGAAGCGCACTCAACGGGGCTTAACGAGCTACGAAAACGGGTACTACGCGAAAATTTCCATTGCAACTTGCGCCAACGCTGCGACATGGCACAGGTCCACGTCACAGCGTCCGTGCAAGTGGCTATGGAAACTGCCGTGCGGTGCCTGTTTTCATTGCTCATGTGTCCCCTGTTTAATAGTTCAAATTAGACAACCTCTTGGCCCGACGAACAAACATAATTTTGTTTTGAGTTGTCATGTGCTGCCTAAACAGTCCATGATAAATAACATTTTTGGGGGATTAATAATTTTATGTCATACATTTCACAAATGTTTTATCTGTGGCATACCTATTTATGGTCTGTAGGCCTATGTAGAGTAAATCACAAAATACCTGCTTTGTATGTGTGGCCATCCATATGCAAATCGTAATTTTATCTTGCATCATATCTAGATTAATTTTTGAAGTTTCAAACTTCTGATAATTCAAGCAAAATTCGTGGCTTCCTGGAGTTTGAATTAATGAGCCCACTGTATGACACTTTTGGTACGAGATACACATAAAAAGACTAACAGTCAAAGCAAATATAGTAGATACATATTAAAGGAAGCAGTGCAATGTTGAAGAATTTGCATCCTGTGTATTTTATATTGTTTATCTAGGCATAAATGAGAAAAAATGTGCCGAATTTCCCCTGAAATACTGCTATTTCGCTGCATGATCGTAAAGGAAAAAACAAATCAGTATTTATCGACCTGCAGCCGTGTGTGGCGATTACGGGAATTATGGTGTCATGTCACAGCGGTACATGGGAGACAGCAAACCAGTCCCCCTTCGCTACTACGTTTGACGTCAGCCCATTGCTTGCCATGACCTTCTGCGTAGCTAATCCTAGAAAGGTTGGCAACTGCGGAGGGAGCAGTTGGTGGCTCTGAAGACAGAACCCAACGGGAAACCAGGTAGTCCTCCAGTGACGTTGCTCGAAAGATGGTGTGAGAATTAAAACATACTTTGACCTTCAAACTGTTTCATTTTTAATTATAAAAACTAGCATGTATAAGAAAAAACTGGTTTTCTGCTCTTCACTCTATAGGCGACACAAATTAATGCCTGCAGTTAAAAAATTGTTGTACCACCCCTTTAAGTTTATTAAAAAGCCACCATTTCCAAACAGGTTTTTAAGGATGCTAAAGTGTTTTAAAATGCTGCAGTTGCACATTAATTCACTACAAAAAGCAGCCGTAGATGATACAAACTCGACACATGAATATGCAGAGCCAAGAGTTTGGCTTACCCTACAAGAGCTCACTTCTTCAGCAATCACTGCAAAAAGAAATCAGTAAATGACAGAATGAATATCTACAATGTCTAGAAATTATATTTGTCACAATTTATCATTACACAAAAACTACACACATTAGATCTTTAAAAAAAATGTTTAAGGCTACCGTAGAATACAGCGCATCCGGCCATTCCACATTAAGCACCCATATCCAAATTTCTAAGCTATGAAAAAATATGCACAGTACATTTACATGCAAAACTGATGATCAGACAAGCACCCATCCCCCATTTTTTCGCAATTATCTCTAAATTTTAAGTGGAAGCCTGCCCGGTATTTTACGGTCCTTTAATTTTTTAGAACTGTACATTTCTTATTCTGACAATTTTGAAGCTAGTCTTGCCAGAAGCTCCAAATAAAATGCCACATTTACCTTAATTTACTCCCACAAAATGCAACAGCTGTGTGGAATGTATAGAATCCAAGTCCTTCCAAGGACTTCTTCCCACTTCCCAAAGGAAAGCAGCTTTAAATTTGAAACTTGCATTTTCAGATTTTATAACTATGGTGCATCAAATGTCTCCCAAACACTTTCAGTTACTTTGTCCCATTACTAATTTAAGCGAGACACTAATTCAGGCAGAAATATCACTTCCAACACACCTGTAATGCTCCCCAGTTTTTTGCCACCACTGGGATTCCTGCAAATGTAGAAGGGGGGTGGGAGGGAGAGGGGGATCACTGGTACCCATACTAACTCGTGCCTTTCAGAGGAACGGATCTGACAAAGAAATATGACGCGGACAAAGAAAAAGAACCTCGGAAAGTTTTGGGAAAAGACAAGAACGACACATACGTGAGAGGTCTGGTGAACCTGCTGCCCTGAACCGAAACGATTTCACCCAGCGTGCAGTCCATGCTACCGAGGAAATCCTAGTTTGTGGAAAGAACAGGAGTGCCAGACGCCCAAGAGGTTAGAGCCCCCAATTGGATTGGATTGTATCTAATCCAATCCATTGAAACCACAGTTGCCCGGAGCGCGTCTCCGACTGATGCGTTTACTGTATCTTCAAAAGTGGTCCCAGATTTCCACCCGACGACTTCACAAAGCGTTGCATCATCACCTGCCGCAATGCTGGTAGAGTCGCAGCGGTGGGAGTGAATGCGGCTGGCGCCTGTTCCGCTGCAAGTCGCTCCTCAGCCAGATGGCCGACGGAAACCAAAGCAGACGCGAGAAGGGATGCAGCTCGCTTTTTTTGCCGGCGTTTTTACGACCTACTGCCAAGATTGCAATGTACGGCGGCCCGACGCGGTGCCTGCGTGATGCAATTCGATGCTACTTCGTGATCACTTTTGATGCGTCGGCGGGATAAGACGGTAAACGAGCCAGTCAATGGCGAGCTCCGGGCACTTGAACCGCAACGCGGGGGCTCGAGGAAACGCTGTCTTACGTGGTCCGCAAGTCTTTGGCTCTTGGAGTCGATATCATACCTGTTTGGGAGCGGGAAACAGACGTGTTTGGGACAGCTGACTTCACCCCACTGAACCAAAGCCAGACGCGAAGTGCGTCGGGCGCCAACGAGATAGAGAGTGAACTGAAATCTAGGTGATTGTAATTACACCTCGAATCTCATCTTTTGGCTCTCTTCAAAGTAGTAGTCCTCGGTGAACTTTTTGACGAAGTCGGGATCCTGAGTGTTCTTGATGACTTCTGTCCGTCCGATCTGAAAAGAGTCAGGGGGGGGAGGGAGGGCGGGGCGGGGGGAGGGGGGTGCATTTGCAGTGTTAGCTTTTGAGCCTATGTGTGCTATGGAGCTTTTTGGCTTCAACGCAAAAGTAGGAAATCTCAAACATGCAAGTGTGCCTCGGCAAAACGACTGTTTGGGCATTTGTCTTTAGGAGGGAGCCGAGTTCAAAATGAAGTAAGAGTGGCAGGCTTCAGTACTGCTCATGAGATTATGCCGCTTCATAATGATACAATTACAAAACTTAAGACAGCGAAGGATCATTTGGCTTCCTACAATGTGCTTGTTTCATGGTCCTTTTATGTACACTATCCCCCCATTTGCCATACGCAAAAAGTAAGACAAAAAATGTCAAAGACTGTTAAGCACAGAGAGAGAGCTAAGCGCTGCAAACAGGTTCTCCTTACAACAAGAAACAATGTCCTGGGATCTTTGCTAGAGGTAAAACAAGGAGCGAATTTTCTTCCCAATTAATTTTTATTTTATTGCTTATTGTCACAGCTCTCATAAAAGTGGGTCACACAACGTAAAAATAATAAAAACCTTAAAAAAATAATGCAGTAATAAGGCAATGATAAGGAATACTGGGAGCACAAAGTGATAAGTAAAAGCCAAAACTTCAAAATGCATGACTGAAAAAAAAAAAAAAAATGAAATGCTTGTAATTGTTTTTTAGGTTCTCTTTAACAGTAGAAACAGCAGAGTAAATGAAGAAATTCTGTTAAGACAGCTGGAAAGGAGCCAATGCTTTGACAACTGTAAGTCCCTGAACATATGGAACACCATTTTGGGAACAGGACAATAAAATTATGTGAAAATGAGATGCTTTGAAAACCGCTCTTTTCAGCATTGTCAGCGAGTTATGCTGTCTGGTCTTTCCCGACTGCCCCATGAAAGATTGGGTCATTTTCAGTAAGGTAGTATAGCATCTTAAAGGGGATTTCTTCATGGTACCCGATTTGCTTGAAGTTTTGCTAAACTCGCCACACAACATTGCTAAAATAGTACCCCAATTATTAGGTCAAAATATTTTTTTTTTCACAAAGTTATTGAATTTACAGTTTTGGTACTCACCGTGTTTTTCGAACTGAAAGTCTCTACTGGCAACAACGAAAGAGTGACGTCAGTGGAAGGCAGGGGTTCACTTTTTGGACTGTAGAATTTGTTCCCAACTGATTGGAAGTAATTTCATGGTGTCAAATGAACACTTTGGAAGCTCGCTCGAGTTCCCGCGTTCCAGTACGGAACAAATGATTGGCATATTCTATTTTTTAGACTGCCTGCTCGACTGGCAAACCTGCCCGCCACTGACGTCACGACACTGAAAAGTGTGGGTATATTTGAATGCTGGTTGTTGCATCATTTTCATTTGCCGATTTCACAATGACTATTATGAATTTCGTGATACTAAATAGCATACCGGAAAGGGTAAAGGCCGGGGGGTCAGAAAATATAGTTAGTTAACTCAAAAAATCGCCGGAGTAACCCTTTAAGAGCACTACCGGCACATGCCCTATGGTACAGAATGATGATGTGGCAGTTCAAAGAATATACAGGCGTGCAGTCTGTAGTAATACCTCTGAGTATTGTTGGCTGCCGCCACGGCACATCAGCACGACACACATGGGATCCGACTTGGACATGACGTCTGTGTCTCTTAAATTTCTAAGGGGAAGACAAAACGAGAATATGTGAGACAGCAGATACGGAAGTCGAATCAGCCATGAGCGCCATTTGCTCTACAACTGAAATATTCAAACATTCATATAGTAGAAGAATCTGGATGTTAATCTGGGTTGGTCCAGCTTAAATTAAAGGATTGCTTCCTTGACAGTGAACTCTCATATATTCTCTTCAAGAACACAACTTCAGAAAACTCAGCACCGAAAGAAGAACACATCAAACGCACAAATGGCCTAATGGTTCAAAGTGTAGGTTTAACAAAAACCAATAGTTTTCTTCACCTCCATTGTCATTGCACGTAGTGTCCTCATGCTTCACTACACGTCGCCGCAGCGCTCCCATCTGTCATTTTCCCCAATTTAGCCAACTTTTTGACAATTCCCCCGACAATTCTTCGACTTTTCCAGGTGCTTTAGATTTCCCTAACTATTCCAGGTTTACCAGGTTGAGACGCCACGATTACTTATAGCTCGTTCCATGTGAGCGACATTAAAGTCAGTAGAAGTGTGTTGTGGTGGCCGTACTTGCATGAAATACTGAGCTCGACTTTGGAACATGGTGCCACCGCGGCTCCTGGCTGGAACGTGTTCATTTTCTAGAAACGACAGAAGCAAGTTAGGAAATAAAGAAACTGACACAAAAGACTATCAAGCAAATGAATTTAAAAATGAAAGATGGTACTAGCATTGAAACTTTATAAAACAGCTGTCACCTCATCCACAACCCAGCTAAAAATTCCTATTAGATCCAATTGGGATTCTAATTGTTTTAATTGAAACCAATTGGTTTTAGTGGGTTCCAACTGAAAGCACACTAGCCAATGGCTCTTACCAATTGGAATTATTTTTTTAGATGGAACCTGATTGGGTTCCAAATGGTTTTGGTTGGTTCCCATTGGCAGTGACCAATTGGTTGTCCGAAAACCTAATTGGTACCAATGCGAAAATTCCAACTGGAACCTAACGGGAATTTTTAATTCGGTTAAGTTTAACGATTGAGCCACATTCAACGAGAGGAACAAGAGCTTGCTTTGAAATTATGACTCCAGAAAGTCCTTAGCATGCATCATGCAGTGATGACCAACGTTGATAATGACTAAACAAATGCATGCCGGTGCAAACGCCGTCCATATTGATGCACATTGAGGATAGATATGATGCTGAGAGTCAATGTGATCACTTGAACACAGACGAGCATACTTTCGACTTGAATGAGTCTGAACGAGGTGCTTCAACTGTGCACACATAATTCCGTAGTTTAAATATTAAACACTATGAACTAATAATGGATTAAGCGCTTGAGCGTCCCTAATGGGTATAATGGGTCACACCCACAAATTCCAAAGATTCGAACCTTGGCCAACTCTATATGCACACATACGGTATCACCTATGCGATTTAGCATTGTTAGGCGCTCTGTATCACGTGCCAAGTATCATACAGTTAATTTTAGATGGCGTCTGCTAATTTTGGTGAAATCGTTCAACGTTGGTACCACAACCTGCGAGTCTGCCTGCGAACCGCCTGTGAACGAGAGAGCTGTTGCATTTAGGTTGTCGCTGTTTGTGTACGAAATAAGAAGCTTATAAATCAAAATTTGACGTCCGATCTCACCTGTCTTTGTCCTGTAAGGCTTCCGGCGTCTTAATGAACCGAGGAGTATTCCAGTTTTCCTTGTAAAACGCAATGATCAACGAGGTTTGCAAGGATGTTTACGACGTGTTTACAACCACTCGGAGAACGCGGGCCGCCGCGGCCGTTGGCCTTCACTGCAGTGTTTCTCTCTCTCCCGAAATTGGGAGAGAGGTCGTTTGATAATGAAGTTCAAATATAACGAATCTAAGATTACACCGTGATCTAAATAGTAGAATACAGTGTTGTTTTGAGCGATTCAACACAGTCCAAACAATGGTCCTTCGGAGGTTGGAGAAAGTTTCGGGCAATTCTGGACGAGGTACAGATATCTGCGGGCAACCACGGCAGTTATTGATTTTTAAAGATGGCGACCACGGAGCTTGTCGAGGTGTCGAGGTACGCTACTTCTGGAAATATCGTACGTTTTCTTATTATTGTCGATTGTTTCATCACAGTGACGTAGCAGAAAAGAGAAGCGACAACCAAGATCATGTATGGACTACCTTACCGTGGATTCCAGCTGTTGTCTTGCTTTAAAAACGTCGAAACATATCTGTCAAATGCGCCTCTTTTTTGAAAAATACGGTCATCCGTTCGAGATATCGCTGTACGAGTGATGTTTTGGTGTTTGTACCATCACGTTGCACGCTTTTGCCGCCGTGTTTTGTGGAATCCCAGATTTCGGTTCAGCATGCCTTTAAGCACTAAGTAGTTTGTGTCAAAACCATATCTTTCAACTAGCAACAGACGAGTAAAATTTCCACACTCGTCTGTTGCTAGTTGAAAGATGTGGTTGTGTTGTTTTAGTTTTAATTGCTTTATTCTTTCTTCATCCAAGACTTGAACCAACACGCTCTTCTCCCAAGCAAAATAGTATTGCCTTTAAATTAGCGTTATTTCGCGGTTTTTATCTCTCCACATAAAACTAAACAGAACTATCATGCTCGACGTTGCACATCCGACATTCCTAACTCCTAAACGTCCGCGTGTGTCCTAACATCAAAAACCGGAATTTTAAAAGTTAAAAACGAGACGTTGCTAATATAAGACGCACACTTTCATGCAAAACTAAAATGTCTCGAATTCGAAGAAAAAGAAAAAAAAACCTGCATATGTACAACAGCATTGTTATCTCCTGGTGAAGGCTCAGCAGCCGTGGAATTCTATTTCGCCCAAGAAACCCTGACTCGCAAAAAAAGTAAGAGCACGGTGTTACTTCGTTTATTTCAACAATGTACTATCGAGGACAATATGAGCTGAAACATCGCCCCGGCCTAGGCACGGTACGACGCAGAGGCTCTGGGTACGACGGTACTACCTGCGCCGCCTGTCGCATCGCTCCACAAACACGACGCACCCTGAGGGCGAGATAAATTATCACTTGTGCTCACTGAGCCACTGCGCTCTTCCGGCCGTCTGCTAGCAAAATATTGGCCGACAGGACCACGATGCCTGTGGCGTGCAGCCCACTGTTCACGTTTTCAGCTATCATGCATTTCAGCGCATTTCAAGAGAGCGCCGAAGTGGAAAATGCGTTGTCACGCTCGTATCTCCTTGAGGAACGCTGCCTGACAAGGCTGCCTTGGCCCCCAAAAGGAGCCGATCTAAATATCGTCGAAGACGTTTGGAGGCGCATCAAGGTAGCCATGTCACGGCGTCCCCTCCACCGCGCCACTGCCGACGAATTGTGGGAAGCGGTGAGAGGTGAATGGGGGAGAGGCTTTGGGCCGAGCCAGACTTCATGGTCGCGCTCAGAGTCCTTACCAGACAAAATGAGAGCCGCGGACGCGGTATTAATTTATTTCGTAAGTTTTACTGCACCTCAGGACCCCCTGAACTAGACCTCTGCCAATTGCAACAAAGCTTGCTGCTACGATTGCGATACACTGTTTGATGACTTTTACCAGCGCATACATTTGAGCGGTGCATCCTCGATCCCGATCTTCTTGTAAAGTGCAGTTAAACTTCCACGCCGACTATTAATCGTTTGTGTAGAACATTGTCCTCTGCGAATATTCTTTCGATGAATTTCAAGCTCCTGCTCCTGGCAAATGTATGACACTTTGTTGCATGCACTTTATTTAAACTAGGAATTTGTAAATAAAACACTCGTGTCTTGTCAGCACTTGTTTTGTTTGAAACAAACACGTGGGCCTAGTAACAAAGAAATAATATTTTAGAACCGTTTCATAAATATCCAGGTTACAAAAACTTCCGCAGTAACATGTATGGTTACCATTGTTTCTTTTTTACACCTGTGCACAATAAAAAAAAAAGTAAATACCTTGGAGCCGGCCTAAATCGCGTATACAAATTTTGGCCCCTATTTTACGATGTCCTACATTGTGCATGCACTTCATAAAAAAAACAAAAAACTACAATGTTTTTTATGTGATTTCTGTAAAATATAAATCGCAGTTGCAATTTAAGATGCTTCAACATCTTTTCTTCACCAGTCAGAGTTCTTTCTACGTGATTCTACACGATGGAATGAAGTAAATCAATTGCAAAAAAGAAACAAAAAATGTAATGTTCTGCCTGCCCCCCCCCCCCAAACCTTCTGCCGCCCTCCAACACATGCCCGCTGTCGCACCCGCCGTCTCGCTTTCAGACCACCGGAAGAGTGCAGTGGAGCAGCGAGCGCAAGTGACAATTTATCTCGGCCTCGGGGTGCGCCGTGTGTGCGAAGAAAGGCGACAGGCGGCGCAGGGAGTACCGTGCGCCGGCCGGAGCGCTGTTTCAGCTCATATTGTCCGCGATAGTACACACTTGAAGGCTTCCACTGATGAGGCCTCAAAACCGAAAGTCACGTATCGTGACTGCACCCGCTACCCTACCACCACCGAACCTCGTTGTCACACCACTTCTGCCAAAATTCTCTGTAGAATTGCCAGTAAACACAAAAATGACACCTATACACGTTTGCAAGTCCGGCTTCAGGGCGCTGCCATCTTCCGTGGCTGGGGTGCGCTTGGACGAGGCATAATCCGATTACGAAGCCTTGCTAAGGCGTCGTAATCGGATTATGACCGCGCCCAAGTGCGCACCCCACTGGGGAAGATGGCGGCGCCCTAAGACCGGACTTGCAAACGTGTATACAATTATCTTGCAGAATATCTCCTTATTTAGTTGCAACTATAAAAATATGCATTAAAAAATATTTTTTTTTTTTTTTTGCTTGGGAAAACGAATTATTAACCTTTAGGCCTGGCGACAATGTATTTCCGCCGAATCTTTGCCAATGCTTTAGAAAACTTCAGCAGAAATACGATTTTGCCGTATTCTTGATTTGGCAAAAGTCCGGCCCATCAGTACTGCTTGGGCTATTACATTGGCGGGAGCGCACGAGCAGCGTGAGCGGCGGCCAAGGAGGATAGAAGTGTAGGAGAGGGCATGATGCCAGCCATGTAGCCTCCACAAGCCATGCTTCCTTGACGCCTCGCCTCTTTCTCATTTTCGTCCTTACTCTCCTCACTTACCACGCCAACGTGACCACATCATGTGACCGTAGCTAGCCTTCGTCTAGCTATGGGGTACTAGAATACACCACAGTCTAGCCTTCGATCTGATAAAACCTACCGGACGGAGCGCGCGCAAGCCTGCAAGGAGTCCTTCTACAATCAACCATCCATCTCGCACGTAACATGTCACACGCACCAATAGCCAGAGAGATCTACGGTCACGTTGGCCACAACATTGTTTAAACTTTTTATGACTAGGCTTCACCAATATTGCAACGTGCCCTCTCCTAGTACTTCTAACCTCCTTGGCGGCGGCAGAGTTCTACCGCTCTCCCTACGCTGACTAAAAGTGGCTGCGCATGGCACTGTTCGCTGGGCGACCGGTAGCACCTTCTAGCGGACACAGGGTGCTGTACTGACGACTTCATGCTTGCGTGTCTTTACATCCCAACGCCGCTGTTTAGGTTATGCCGCAAACTTTTTGTGAACCTGAGATTTGATGATCGATTCAAGGGGTGCAAAAGGATTGCAAAGTTTTGAACGTCTAGCTTATTACATAAAAAAATCCAACAATTTTCGGACTTCCGAATTTTTGGCGCTGAAATATTTTATCGTTTTCGACCTTCTGAGTTTTTCGCGGTATGAAATCAACATTTTTTAACTTCGGAATTTATCAGAAGAAGAAGAAGAAGAAAATAAATGGTGATTGACGATTTTCGAACTTTCGAATCTGCTAGGTTCCAAAGTTAGACGACGCTCGAACTTCTGAACATAAGTTTGACGAGCTACGGACCAAGTCCACCCCCATAGGTTCAGGGCTACAAACATAAAACAAGACATCACCAGTGTGTGAAGTGGGGAAAGTTGCACTTTGCTGATGGTGCCCCAAACAACTAGCTTTTAAAGTGCTGAATGATCACTTTGGAGTGGCCTCGGCATCATACCTTGTACAGTGATAGCTGTTATGGGTTCTTTCAACCACAGGGCTATTCTCACCGTAGTCGACGTTTCAGTTGTAGTTAGCGTTATGGGGAGTGTCGTTGATGTTGACAGATCCTATTTTAACCTTTTTTTGCATGGCTCTCTTGCTCCGTCTTCACCCTTTCCAGCCTCATCAAACACCCCCACCTCTTAGCCAAGCAACAGAGCCACCTTGTGGAAACACGCTACGCGTAGACACCCAACGGTGAACTATTTAACGCAGAACGAGAGCCTCTGTCGTGGGTACTGCAGCAGTCGCGGTGATAGCTTTCTTTGTGAAAGGGAGCAGCCGCCAGTAGACACTGTCTGATTGGGACCACAGACGACATTTATACTGGTCAACTTGCCCATTTTTAGGGGCTGCGAGAACGTGATCTACGGTCGAGTTTTTTGTTCTGCATTGCATAGAAGAAATTAAAAAGAAAAGCGGAACACATTCCCAGACGACTTAGTGTTGTTTTAGTTCACTCCTTTCTTTACCTTGTTTGATACTAACGGCCTTTTCCACTTTATTCAGTTCCAAAAGGTTTAGCCCACTGATCTCTACGACAATTGCTGGATCGTGCTTCCCCGCTCTGCAAGTGCGGCCACCGGACGGCCATTTTGCATGTAGTGAAATCGACTTTTGGAAGTGTTGCAGAAACTGGGCAGCAGCATGCTGAAAGCACGTTTTCTACTCATTCGTCGTCATTCGCCGCAGACGTTAAAAAAAAAAAAAATAACCTTGAATAAACGGTGAGGATTGCCTTTGAGAATGGCACAACTCGTTGAAAAAGGCACAAATCGTCGAAAGCAAGTTTCGCCTGTCTCGCAGCGTTACCGAAGCTTTGTTGGCACGCCGAAGTGCTTATCTTTTCGCACGTCTGGATACCAATCAAGAATCGACGCTGCGGCCAAGTTTTGAATCTGCGTCGCGCGTGGATGTCTTTGGATCATATATCGGCCACGGGGTTCTGGATCGTCCAGCTAGCTGTTCCAACGAGTTGCTATCAACAAAGGGAGAAAAAAATATCTGGGGTTGCTATTATGCACTATTAACCATGGCTATGTTCCAAATCTACTCTAATGGATCACATGGCAGCACAAATAAAACAGCGGTGTGAAGCAAGGAACGTTTTCAAACGCAAAATTACGAAACTGCGAGATAGAAAATTTTTACAGTGGAGCTGTTAAGGGCTAGTTTCCCCAGTTTCATGTCCGTCACCAAAGAAATGTCGACGCAAAACTCTGGACAGCTACCGCTATGTATGAGCGACGGCGAAAAACAAAAAACCGGCCTGCCGGTTGTCTGGTTACCGTTGTCGCTCAGAAATGGCGGCAACCTTTCCAGCCTTTCCACTCTGGTTTTCACCAGAGTAGAAAGGCTGAATTTCTCTAGGCGTCATCCTAGACATCATCCTCGAGGTCGTCCTAGAAGTCGTCCCTGAGGTCGTCCTAGGCGTCGTCCTTGAGGTCCTCCTAGGCGTTGTCCCTGAGGTCATCCTAGGTGTCGTCCTCGAGGTTGTCCAAGAAGTCGTCCTTGAGGCCGTCCCACCATAGTACAGCTTCGCTGGTCTTCCTTCTTCACCAGAGTGGAAAGGCTGAAAGTTTTTTTGAAGCACGTCGACCAATCACAATTAGGCGAGCCGCGCTCAGACTTGATGTCAAGTGCAATTAACCAGGTTGATAATTAGTCAGATCAGTGATCGGCAATTCATCTTAACGACGAAAAAAATATGTACCATTGGTATCATATACTGCTCTGGGAATAATGTGTCACTGGACCTTTGTGATTGTCATAAGCATCTAGTAAACAAAAAACGAGCCGTCACCGCCGCACAAATGTAACAAAACATACATGCTTTATTGATAGGATCTGACACAAACTCAATCGGCGTTGCAGCCGACCGTCGCACAGACGACGTCAAATATATCTTTCCACAGAAAATGGGACAACAAAGCAGCGACGTGGCTAAAGAATACACAGAGGCACATGCCTACAAGTTTTGGTCGGCGATTGGAAAGTCTGAGAGCAATGCACATTCATTACATGCAGTACGAAAAGATTTGACTCCTTCAGTGTAAGACAGAAATAAGCTTGAGCCACAAGGGGTTGTGGTGGTGGATCATTTTCAGGCACCCAGCATTGATCTTATTTCTGTAATTGAGCATTCTCTCTGAAATGCTGAACTGAATTGCAAACAAGAACATATGCCATGTGTTCTTATTGGTTTTCTTCGTTTTCATTAGTATAAGCTTGCCAATTCATCTCAGTAGTCTAGTGTAATAGACGCTTTGGACACGTGCTAGATTACAGCCGCCACTGCTGACTTTCTCTCGTCTTACCTAGACGTCAAACCACTGAAACGGGTGTCGACGAGCCTCCACAAAGGCCAAATTTGGGGAGAAGGACGCAACAGAATCTAAGACGGCAATAACCGGGCGTGCTAATATGGTAATAATGAAGTGAAGTAAACGAAATAAGGAAAAAAACACTGAAGGCCTTTCAATTTCCTGTGCATCGACTGCCCTTTCAGCCCATATTGCTGCTTCATCCGTGCGTACCCCTTGCCCCCTAAAAAATAAAATAAAATATTAATACACAATATGACAATAAAACAACTAATAAAATCATTTTTAATAAATGGTGAGGAGGAGACATACTAAAGAGAAATAACTGCGAACAACCGTAACAAACAAAACTTATCACCGAGGTTTCAAAATGCGACAAAAAGGAGAACTGACCAAAAAGGGTGTCCTCTTTGCGCAGCGACGTAGTGTCACCAAAAACATGCATTGTTTGGTCCATCACAACCAAAAAGCCCCTCTATAACAAGGACAGCTATGCATACAATGACTGGATAAAAGAAATGCAATTGAATAGCTAGAGAGAAGCAGCTAGCATATAGTCAACAATGCTTTCTGTCTATATATATATAGTAACCAACAGAATGAGAGCGCCAGGTCGTCTCTTTCCGACGCCTGGCCTCCAGCATGCGCAGTTTGCCTTCCACTGTGCTTTGGCTGCAAGTGCATGCTCGAGGCTTACAGGACGCCGAAGCATCACCAAAGGCAGGAGGATCACGCTGGAGATGTGTCCAATTGAAGGACCTCTCTGCTGTTCTAGTCCCGTCAACAACCATAAGGCATCTAAAAAAAAAAAAGCACCTTGCAAATGATGTGCTTGGGTGGTAATAAACCTGGTTTCTCAATTCAGTCTGGGGAGATGACGCAGAGTTTGAAGAACATAAATGTATACTCTCACATCATGTCTGACGTTGCGAAACCTCACGTAGCGAGTAGCAGAAGCAAGCGTCGGTGCCTGGTTTTTCGGAACGGACTGTCAGTTTCTGTCACCGAGTTGATCGTGACAACAAAGTTGAAGGCTGTAACCAGGAGTGCTTTGGTGAGTCATTTGTGGCATCTCAATAAAGCAAAACCTGTCTATAATAAAGTCTTTTTTTTTTTTTAGAAAATAATTTTTGTTTTATTAGCACCTCAAATACCTGTACTAGTGTCGTAAACATACTTTGCAACCCTTCGCAACATCCATATCTGTGCCACGGACAGGTTCTTCTACATTGTGTTTGCAGTACATTTGACGTTGCTACATGTTAAGCCGGTAAATGCCATACGTATAGTACAATTATAGTAAAAAATGGATCACTTTGCTCACACCACAGAGATAGCAAACATAGTGTACAAAATATATATCAGGAATACCGAAAATGGTCTACTGAAACTCTCTCTAATATATTGTAGAATACTATGCATCCGCCCATTCTGCGCTAAGTGCCCACCCCCAAAATTTGAAACATCTGAAAAAATAATATGCACAGTACATACATATGTAAAATTGATGATCTCACGTGCATCCATCCCCTATTTTTTCTCGATTATCTTCAAATTTTGAATGGGCGCTTGCTCGATATTTTACGGTAGCCGTATTCTGCCCTGAGAATGGCTTGACCTACTTGACACATGCCAATTGCTCCTACTTTGTAGATCGGACTAGAGGCAAAGAAGTACTAAGGCAAAACATAACAATGAGTCGGTGGAGAGTTCTTCAACGTAGAGCCACTAACTAAGCTACGCTTCACAGTAACGACGCTTTGGCCATCTTGTTGCTCAAACCAGTTGCCAGTTAATCCGAAGTTCTATCTGGAAACGCAGGAAACACTCTTCCGTCCTCCAGAAATGTTAAAAGAGTCTGCGACGGAGCAAAGTAATATCACCCAAGCTTCCCGAACCCCTTATACAATTAATAAAGGCGCATTTTCGAATCTCAACTATTACCAATCGCGCCCCATCTGCACAAGGCAACAAAATGGCGGCACTTACGGAAAACTCGAGGAACAAAGGGCCGATACTCAAAACTTAGCTTGTCTAGCGGCTCTACTTCAACCCACTCTTAGAGAGCATTAATGCCAATGCATGTGGCAGTGCCTGCCAGAAAAAAAATTTTCAGACAGGTGGGACGGGCAGATGGGAACGGCTGTGAATGCTACAACATGGGCCGTTACACGGGGTTGCCAGGTCGGAAACCACGCTTCTCCATGTAAGCCACGAGCTGGTTTGGCACCTCCGCCAGCACTTCCTTAGCCAGCCGTGCCTTGGACTCCACTGGGTTTTGGTTGCCCAGGAAATCGCGAAATGCCACAAACTGCGACGAGAGAAAAAAAATGAACGGATGAACGGTGTTGGCTACACCCTTTGAGTCTGGCAGTGGCTTGCGCCACCTAGCCTACCCCTTTAAGACCTGCATCCCTCCCCTTTAAGACCTGCATGAAATTCTGCCTCTCTATCTAATCTAATACATCAGTTTGCACATACTCGGTCAAGCAGTGAAACAAAAACGAATAGAAAAAGAACTGTACGGTGAAGGCCACTTGCCTGTCTGCCGTTGACATACAAAAAGTGACAGTGCTCGACATATTTACAGCTATTAGCACACAAAAAGCTAGATCGATAATCTGAAAGGGTCTACTGGTTCAGGTGTAGAATAATCGTGCAAACATGCTTCACTAAACTCACCTGAACAATGTCCCGTTCCGCAACGCGGCCTTGTGAGGTGATGCGTACGTTGTCACCGTCGAGCTCGTTCATGGCTGAAAAGCGATTTTATATTGTTCAGCCCACTTTGAAGGCTACATTGCACATACAAAGCCATCATCATAATGGAGGTGTTGCAGTCGACGTCCAAAACAGAAGCATGTTTTGAAATCCGTCCTAACTCAAAACAAACATATTGTGCGCTAAATTCTGTTTTTTTTTTTTTTTTTTTTAGGGGGAAAGTTAATCTTTTTGTACATGTCCCATTCAGGCAGTCAGTGTTGCCAGGTCTACTGATTTATCAGCAGATCTACTGACTTCGTTCCGGGTCTACTGATTCACTGAAAAACAAGAAAATCTACTGACTTTTTTTTAGTAAACATATTAAAAAAATTTTATTTGGCCCTTTCAGTTCCCAGTGTCGGTCATCAAAGGAAACTCATATTGTACCAGAATTAAAAACGAAGCACTGGCTACATGGCCCAGAAGCCCGTCCTATTCGAGTGACGTAGCCGTATATTCATCGATCTATTTACCCAGAGCAGGTTCGGCAGATTCGGCAGATTCGACGGTGACATCCGGGCCAGAGCCATATATGGAGAGAGTTTGGCCAGTCTATGATCTCGCCGTAACGTCCCTCTACCGAGTGAGCCAATCAGCCCGCGGCGCAGAGCGAGAGGCGTGAGCGCATGCGCCTGAACTCTCGGCTCCTCCGAGTTGAGCGGAGAGGGCCGCCATTTTCATTCATTCGACCGGCGGAATGCATGGGATCGACATCCAAATTTCACTTATTTACTTTTATTTGGCAGGTTGTGGCAAGAAAATTATATAATCTTATTCCTCGGTGGCTTAAAAAGCTAACGAATGAAGTTCTCCACGTTTGAACGCAAACTTTGGGTCAGGCGAAAAAGAAATAAGCCCGTAGCAGACGACGCGTAGCCTCAACAGTGCTCTGCGCCGACAGCGTTGCTTCAAAAACCTTCCACAGCCCAGTAAGGAAAGATGGCAGCTTGCAGAGGACTTCCATTGGACATGTACGCGCGCACTTGCCGGAACGTCTTGTTTTGGTTTCGTGTCAATAATAGCGACAGGTGGATGTCGCACTTTCGCCCTCATCTGTTGATGCCAAAAGTGGCTCAGTCTCGATTTCAAAGAGTAATCCTCGAAATAGTCGATAATGATTAATAAAAAAAGAAACATTTATGGTGCCATTTTAATTTGTCCTTCACAAACAATTACTCCAGAACTGGTCTTGTTTTTTTCATTTTTATTTGTATTTGTTACTATGTTCTATGTTACTCTATACTATTTCTTCGAAGTGTGTATTAATGGAAATAGCAAAACATGGCAAAACACATATTTCGTAGAATCTACTGATTTTTGTGCGAATCTACTGACTTTTTGGGGATCAATCTGCTGACTTTTTTTTTCTCCATCTGGCAACACTGCAGGCAGTTAACAAAAAAAAAAAGCTTTTGGGAGTTCAGTAACCCTCTAGAAAGAGAACAAAATGGAAGCTCCCTCTACCCTGTAGCACAGGCACAGCAAAATTCGGTAAAAGAAAACCGCTCACCGCCGAAATCGGCATTGCCAACGCCGACAATGATAATGGACATGGGGAGCGCAGAGGCGCGAACTATGGCGTCCTTGGTGTGCGCCATGTCCGTAATCTCTCCGTCCGTGATGATGAGAAGCACAAAGTAGTGCCGACCGTCCTGGTACGATGTGGCAAACCTGCACAGTACGGGCGAGCAGTCTTCTTACGGTGCCTCTTTGCTGGGAAACAATACAATAAAAATGACTGCATAACAGTTTCATAGAAAGCATACGCCAGTGAGTCACAAGAGAGTCACAAGAGAGAATGGCACCTGCCTTAACAACCTCGACATCTAAACGCACAAAGCCACCGTCTTTGTCAGCATAAAGTAACACCGAGAACACATTCATTAAAATGCGCTGATGGCAGTTCTAATGTGCTTTAGTATCGAACTGAGCAGTGTGCACTTTAAAGTACCATATACTCCGGACCACAGTCTGCAAATGGTCCGCAGGGGCAAATTTCAGACGAAAGAAAAGTTTTCCCTAAGTCTGCGCCCAGTGCATTGTCTGCAAGTAAATAATTCCACTACACACCTTAGCAAATGCCTGCCTTACTAGCTTGCAAAGAACCTTGCATCATACACAAATCATCATTAACATATGTAATTCTTGTAATTTGTTGCATCTCGTCATATTTAACCTTTTGGGGTCATGTGAGTTTTCCCCTTGTCGGCCCCTCAGGTCAGAATTAGTTTATGCAAAAGTGATGCAAGCAACAAGTGACTTGAAATTTAACGTTTTTATTTTAATATAGTAATATGTTCAATTGAAAATAACTCTGCATTTTCCTGAGTGCTTTCAGTTCTTGAAATGCTAGCGGTACTTGCGCAGCGTGTGGTACTTTTCAAAGCAAGCGCCAGGGTGCAGGCCAGGTTGACAAGCGCAGGTTTTGCAGTAGAACACTGTTTCGCGCCGTTGCCCCTTGGTTTTTCTGTTCTTGCAGATGGCGCAGTCCTTGTTTTTGCTTCCATCGAGTTTATCAATAAAGTGGTTCTTTCCACTCAGTCTCTCTTCACAGTCTCCATCAGAAGAGCGCCCCCGTTTCCTTGGCTGGTTGCGGACATTTCCAACAAGGTCCTTTATCAATGCCTTCCAAAACGTGAGGTGCTGCGGTGCTTGCTCGCCTTGGCTGAGTTTTTCGAGGCAGAAGTGGATGGTAGCTGTTGACTACTCCCACTTCCAGCAACCAAAAAAATAGGCATGCGCGGTGGCGGCGGCGCATGTCTCCTCATCACTCTCGGTGCTGTCACCATCACTCTCTGAGGGCTCATCATGCAGAGACTATCTCAGAGGCCTCCTTTACATCATAGGTGTCTTCTCCACTAAAATCACATTCACTGTCACTTGAGTCACAAGCCTTTCCGTAAAATGCGGACGGAGTAAAGGCTGCCATGATGAACTCGTAAAAGGGCGCGCAACATTCCCGCCCGCGCATTTCGCAAAAAAAAAAAAAAATGTGTAGCGTCATTTGCAGCACCTTTCGAAGGGCGAAGAAGTCTAGTTTACATTCCCGATGACAGATGGCGCAAGTTGACATTGTCGGGGTGCGCCCGACACCTGACCGCAAAGGAGAAATGGGCCTGTCGGGGGAGCCCCGACATTTGACCAGAACCTGAATATTTTTTTGTCGGGGGTCACCCGACACATGACTCCAAAGGGTTAAGAGTTAACGACAAACAGTCAGCACAGCACAAGATCTCAACTTGCCAGTTAACATGTACAATGATGTGATTGGTCCGAGTCATTTTGGAGCACCTTTTGGAGCAGCTAAGAGAGTATTTTGGAGCAGCAAAAGGAACTTTCGGAGCATATGTTTACCATTCAATATTATTCGTATAATTTAAAATATTGTATGTAAAGATGAATGTGTTACGCCTGTCCATCAGAAGACATTTGCCTTCCCACATATGTGCAACTTTTTTGTTAGCGTCAATTGCACGGGATGTTTGATTCCCTTAAACACAAAAAGAGCTGTTGCGGGTACAAGTGCAAGGCACAACAACAATATGCTGAATGATCAAGGACATTGTGAACTGCTGCGAATTGTTATCTTAGGTAGAGAGCCAAAGGTAAACCAAATAGGACATTCCACGGGAGTCATGTTAGAACAGAATAACACTGAACACTAAAGATGATGTTTCATTGAAGTCCTTGAGGTTGTAACAAAACTGCAAATATTACTTCAAATAAAAACAAAGCTTTTGTCATTTGATTATTAACATTAATTACAATCTATATGTAGGACTTCATGATAACGAAACTCGGCATGTAAACAATAAGCCTTAAATATTGCCATTGCACAGATAGAACATATGTAAAGGTCAAAACTAAACCAGCGAGTTGATATAAAAAAATAAGCTGATAGAGAAGTCCATATAAACGTTCCCACAATATGCAAAAAAGTAGTCAGAATAGCGTAGTCGATCATATGTACTAGGTGCAGCTTTATTCAGAATTGTTTACTGGAAGGTGAAGTTGTAACAGCAACATTTACCAAGTTCTTTTTATATATATACTGTAAATGACTTATTTTTTGCGGGCTCAATATTTCATGATTTAGGTCAAAGCAGAAGTTTTGGAAGAATTCGCGGGCTCTAATTTTCGCAACGCGGTGGGATCTCAATATAAATTCCAATATGTTTACATCTTACCAGAATTGTTCACGAGACCTATTTTTCGGAAATTGTAGGTGATTTGCGAAATTCGCGAAAATTAGGTCATCGCGAAAATTAAGTCGTTTACAGTATATACAGTTGAACCCGTTTATATCGAACTCGCAAAAAAATGTCTACCAGTTCGATATAGAAGGTGATCAGATATAAAAGTTTTAATGAATTTGACTCTCAAAAATTCGCTTTCAGCTGACACATTCCACAATGAAATAGTCTTGCATCTTCTGCTGCTTTTTCTTCATTGCATCCGAAATAGCAATATTTTTCTACGCTATCGACGGACTCCAAAATGATGAGGCTGCTGCCTCCTATATTCGTGCATTAGCGCCGAAGTATGCCGATAGCATGGAGCACGTCGGAGCAGGAGCACCTTCTGCAGAGTGCCGTTTTTCTCTGCAAGTTGGCTTACCTTCAAGCAGGGCGGCTGCATTGGGGGAAAGCCAGCTAGCAGAGCAAGCTGGCTTTTTTTTTCTTCGGGGCAAACACGTCAACCGCCCGGAACATTCTCTTTTGCCGACGGAGCGGGGGGGAAGGGAGCACGGAGCACCCTCTCTCCGCTCCCTCCGCAAAAGAGATTTTTTTTCCTTTTTTCCAGGCAATCAACACAACCAAAGGCGGCCGCTCGCGTTGGGGGAAAGCCAGCTTGCAGCACAAAACGGCGCCCTTGGCAGTTCGATATAACGGTAGCGGCTGATATTTTTGTTCGATGTAACCCTAGTTTTTGCCTATATATTATCACTGTAACATTACTGTGCAGAAAAACTGTTCCATATAAGGGATAATTCGATGTAAACGGGTTCGATATAGTCGGGTTTGACTGTACCTATATACTTGACGCTTGTGTGTTCAATGCCTCACTCTGGAGTGGTCTTTTCCCCTAAGTACGTAGCTGCGCTGTGGCGAAGCAACATACGCAAAATCGCAACGCCAACTCCGTGGTTCTTTACTGCAGTGCACCAGTGAGCGGTGAGAAGCGCACTCAACGAACCTATTCTAACTCACCAGAACGAACTACGAACAAGAGAATATTGCACCACCCCCGAGTAGTCAGTCTTTGATGCAGAGATCAAATGGAGTATTACCTTATTTAAAGCGATAATTGAAAGTTCTGGAAATTCGGACAAGCCTACCGTTACGACCGGGCCGTGTAGAGGGTCGTCATATGTTTTATCTTCAGTCTTAATAAAGTGAAATTACACTTTGTCGTAACGTTGGTGCAAATTCATCACATCCTTTCGGAATGTAGCAGGATGTAGCAGAATGGGCACTTTGGCGCCGTTTTGCGTAAATGGCGCAGAAATCACAATAAACAACGTAAAAATGACAACATGCAAATTCTTTTAATCTTAAAATCGTTGCACCCCTCCTTTAAAGCAGCACCAAAGTGCTGAGGAGAAGTGGCCTCGCAGAGTGCCGAGGGTTGCTTGATTACCAATACACTGTTCTCAAAATTCAGTGCCATCTGGCAGCTCAGAAAGCAGTTTCACCTTCAACAATCTAATAGGAGTCATGAAACTGTATTTGATAGGGCACTTTTGCGCAACAATAATTCTTTCCTTGATTTGTTCCAGTTGCGATGGTGCGAACATAAGAAGCGACCAGTATAAAGCGGCGACACTAAAACCCCTCGATTAGGTTTTTGCCATCAAAAGGCTTTAGACTCAAACTCGTACCAAGAGATTGATTGAACCGCACTTTGAAATAATCGCTTATGCAGCCGTCGTATCTAACTCATGCATCGTGTTGTGCACGACGCACGAGTCAGCACAACACTCGAACGCACATGCCTCGCATATCCTCCACTTGGTAGCATCTTCAACGTCTTTCTTCATCGGCCTCAAGAAGGCTGCCATTAGTTTAACACGAATGCCATTCACTGAGATCATAGAGGTAGGAAGCTTCTGGAGGCGACATGATGCCACAAGAGGTGAACCCCAAAAGTGTGCAGGAACACGCCCCCAACGATGACCAAAACCAAGAGACGCTATTGGACAAAAAAGGAAAGCTGACTGGGCACCAACAGCTGTTTTGGTCATCCTTGGGGCCCCATCGTTTGGGGTGTGTCCCTCCACACTTCTGGCCTCACCTCTGGTGGCGTCGTGTCACCTCCACAAGCTTCCTACCTCAATGATTTAGATGATGATAGTGACCAAAGTTGCCAATCTGAATTTTGAAAAGGGTCCATTTCGGGAGACTGCGCCCGTCACCCACCTCGACACGTGGTTGATGACGGGAGAGAAGTTGGTGGGTCCGTAGAGCTGAACCGTGTGCAGCGTCCGCTGGTAGGCCTCCAGGATCCCTTGCACGCCAGGGCAGTATGGGCTGCTGGGATTGCCATTCTGCATTCCACCAAGGAGACCGCATACCTCTGGTGCAGCAAAACTGTCCATTCTAATATCGTCGCACGTGTGGTAAAGATGGCACATACAATCACGCACGATAAAACCTTCAAAGTGTGCCTCCAACGTCTGCTTATTACAGCTCCGAGCAAAATCTAAACTCCCGGGAACAAGCTTCCGACTTCCGTAGTGTACTAAACTGACAACACTGTAAAACTAAAACTTAAAATTGTACATACTTCAGCTGCAAAGTACTGGAAAGAGACATCCAGCTCAAGGTTTGAAATAAGGCAAAGTCCTCAAACATTTAAAACATTTTGATCTCGAAGAACCTGCCTTCGGTGGCGGCCGACGGATCCCTCCCGGTGTAGGCAACAGTGCCATGAAGCAGCAGAGAAGCCTACGGACCTCATCAAGAATAGGCGAATTTAAGAGAGTGTTTGGCTCATCAGTGAGTAGCTCAGATCTGCTAAGGCAGGGAAGAACAATGGGAAGAGCGCTTAGGAGCAGAGTAAATGGGTGAAAATTGGGGTAGGGGTCTTCTTGGGTACCCCTAGGTAGGTTACTAGGAACCCAGTTTGAGAACCCATGTTCTAACTCAAAAAAGCAAAAAAAGAAAATGCCTGAACTGACCAGGAAAAATTCGTGGGACACCTCGCCGGTGGGTGGCAGGCGGGCGCCAAAGCCGAGCGCAGGGAACATCTTGTCGGCGTCATAGTCCTGGATGATGTCTCCCACCGCCTGGATGACGAGCGTGTAGACGTTGGCCTGCTGGCCCATGTAGTGCAGCGACTGGGGTGTGCGGGGGTCGCCATTGGAGGCCGTGAAGTCTACCGCCACCGTGAAATGCAGCTGCGTCCTGCACCAAAATCGACGGTACGCTGGCTCGTGCGCCTCTTTGTGTGCCTGTTGCTCCCTGTGCAAACTGTAGGTTCCTTCCTTTGCTGAGTTTTTTTGATCTGACAATTGCTATTGTCTACTGATGATTGCTGCGTGCAAAGTTTACTGCCAGGGTTAGAACCAGTAAGATATTCCATACTGCCACATGCACATAAAATTAATCATGACCGTGAATCTTGTGCACTGTTCACTGTTATAAGCATCTAAACTCATCGCGAAAAAACAGTACAAAAGAGACAAGGTCAAAAAGGGAAGACTACACTCCCCAATCACAGTGTCATCTATAAATTCCGGTAAAAAATCAGTTGTTTGTCGGCACCTGTCCTGTGTATTCCTCCCTTTTTGTCCTTGACTCTTTCACGCTGTTGTTTCACAATGAACTCGTACCAACTTGCCCAATTGTCCATTTTACTAAGCATCTAAACTTCCCAGCCTCAAATGCATAAGGTGTATACCCTTTTTGGATGTAGTCCAGAAAAGTTGCCTGCTCATGCACTGCACAGTTCATCAGTGTCACCTACAACAAAAAAACACCAAATAGACAGGCTATGTCAATCTGTCCTAGGCTGTTTGTTAAAATGTGAAACAGCATGATCACTCACAGTGCCGGAGTTTTTGTAGCTTTGCTTAGACGTCTTCTTTGGATTGATGCACTGTGAAGGAAATTCGTGAAGTGAGGGTCACAGTTGCTTATTATACCAATGTTGAACATAACTATCACTTTTTCCGAATTCCCCAAATTCCCTATTTTCATGTGCACCCTCAAATGCACATGCAAACTGCTACTTGTTTCAGGTGTTTGCTTTAGATGAGTTACCGCTGCAGACGCCGGCACGTGCAGCGCATGTAACTGCACTCCCAGCATGCTCTGTGGTGCCTTAAATTTGTAATTTAGCAAAAGATCCGTTGTACATGAAAAAAAGAAAAATTGCTGGGGAAATGTGGACTGGCGGTCTACGTTTTTCTAATAGACTAAGCCAAGAGAACAAATCCACTGAATAAACAAGGCTCACCTGGTAGACATTTTCAGCACAGGGACCCTTCTGCAGGGTCCGTAGGGTGCAGGAGAACTCCCCTATGAGGTCATGGCTGCTGCAAGGGGAGACATGAGAATTGCCCCGCCCTCACACCACCGGCCCATCTTTTCCTCTGTGGCCAGTCAAACTGGGCAGTTTAAAACAGAAGTTTCCTGGGGGTACCAAAACATTAGGCTACCAAAAAGCTAAGTACCCCATTTTACTTCCATGTGGCATGTGCCTGTGAGGCTTGTAGTTGTCTTTCCTTTGCACTTGCCTGACATGGGTTTGTCTGACATGGGTTTGTCTGATACGGGTTTGTTCGACATTGGTTTGTTTGGCACGGGTTTGTCTGACACAGGTCTGTCTGACATGGGCTCATATAGCATATCTGCTGATATGGCAAATGCTTGTATGCATACACTTGCATTGCACATACTTATAAGGCATTAAATGACACATGCCTGAATAAAATGTGCCTGTGTGGCACATGCATGTCATACGAGTGTGTATCCGCAGCTGATGCTATGAGCCATCCCAGCCAGTTCGGCGCCATGAACCTATCATGTGCTAAACACCCCGCACGTCACTGCACCCCTCCGAGGGTCCCGTGACATTCACACAGCACTGGATTGGTGTCAGTGGCTCGCAGCGTTTGCTGCGGTTGATCGCAATTGGTGAAAAAGAGTATAGCGTACTGCAGCAAAGTGGTTCTCAAATGGAGCTCCGCATAACCTTTCGGGTCCCTGAAGGCTATTTTGGGGTGCCTCAAGCCATAGACCATCAGACAAGCCGAACACTGGCTGTTGGAACTATGTGGACAGAATGAGTAGGGTAGATTTTTCCCTATTTAAAGGGGTAGTGCAACGATTTTAGTATTAAAAAAATTGGCAATTTATATTTTTTATATTGTTTATCCAAGCACAAGTGACCGAAAACGCATCACCTTGCCCAGAAAAACTGCTATTCCGGTGCGTAATCGCACTGAAGAAAACGGAGTATTTGCCGATCTGCAGCCCTTTGTGGTGGTTAACGGAACTGATCTGTGACATACTCTGGGGGATACGCGAAAGTGAACAAAACCTGTCCCCCTCTGCTGCTACACTCGCCGTCATCCCCGTTGCGAACCGTCCTTTGTGCCAATCGCTCGCTGCGACCTTCGACGATGCTAATCCTTTGAAAGTCGATAATCGTGGAGAAAGAGGCTGGGGGCTCTCAAGAGAAATCCAAGGGAGAAACCACATGATTCCCCAGAGCATGTCACTCAAAAGGTGACGTGGAAAGTTGAGAGGCACTTTGCCTTTCGACTTGTTTCATTTGTTTACATAAAAACTAGCGCTCGTAAGAAAATACGGTTTCCTGGTCTTCGTTCCATGGGTGACACAGATTAATTTCTACAGTTAATTGGCCAAAGTCTGGAAATCGTTGCACTGCCCCTTCCCCTTGTAGATAGGGTCCCCCAATCACTTCCGTCAATCCAGAAGTGGTCTCCGAAACATCAGTAGTTGATAACCACTGTTGCCACATATGAATGTCTGGCATATGAATGTGTGACACCTGAATGTATGGCACATCAAAGTATGGCATGTGAATGTACGGCACATGAATGTATGACATGTGAATGTTAGACCTGTGAGTAGCACAAACTTCAGCATGCATTTCTGGGGTGGGGGGTGTAAGTCTCACCACTTACGCACTGTTTCCTCCCGGCCATAGACCTCGAAAACCCCCGCGCCAAATCCTGCACCATGCACCCACCTGCCGTCGCTGTCCCAGTCGTAGCACTGCACCTTCAGGGGCCGGTCAGGGTCCCCGCTGCAAAGCGTGGTGCTCTTGATCACGCACGGCCGCCACGTGGGACTCAGATTGTTCTTGACCACCTCAGTCTTGTGCACCGTCGTGAAGCTGTCAAAGAATGCAGGCGGTCACAATAAAGACTGGTTCATGCATTTGCGTACAATTGAGACCAAGCACGCCGTGACTGCGTACGGCAAGAGAACAGACTACAGAGCAGAGGAACACGCCGACACACCCTGGCACTACATGTCAGGTAGCCCTGAAAGAGTGTCCAACTAGACTGAAGATTTTACAGTGTTTGTGAGAGTGAATCTACAAACCATCTATGAAAAATTTTAACCTTTCTACTCTGGTGAAGAAAGAAGAGCAGCGGAGCTGTAGGTTCTGTTCTCGGCGGTGGCTTTCCAGGCGAGCGATCTGCTCTTCTTTCGCAAGGAAATCTGAGGCGCTCGACGCAGTGGAACTTTAGCGATAGTGGCCTCGCGGCGGTTGCAGAACCATTCGCACTGCTGCACACATGGCCGCTCGTTCCGTTCCCGCTCTTCTTCTTCCGAAGAAATGTTGCCGCCATCTATGAGCGAAGGCAGCAACCAGTTGTCTGGTTGCAGAGGCTGGAAAGGTTGCCACAATCTATGAGCGACGGCGGCAACCAGACAACCGGCAAACACAACACTTAGGACAGCTACCGCCATCTATGAGCGACAGCGGCAACCAGAGTGTTGTGTCGACAATTGTGTGGTACCGGACGTGATCCTGGGGAAACTAGCCTTTGACAGCTCTGCTGTAAGAATGGTTGCCTATTCGCAACTCTAGCCGGCCACTCGCCTTCTGGCAGATGAACGAAGAACCAGAGGAGTGGGGACAATGGTGGTGGCGGCGGCAGCGGCGCGGAGACGGTGGCAGAGAGTCGGACTGTCGGCCTTGGTGCTGTTATTTCCGCATGGATCTGGTCGACGTGTTCATGCCTGAAGCAGTTTTAACAAAATGTGAGCGCGTTAAAATAGGAATTATTTGTGTTCCGCCTCACAACAACATTGCACAAAGGGACCGGGATGTCTAATTTCATTAGGGACATTTCGTATATTGCATACACAGCGGATTTTTGGTTTTCTGGTCGCCAGCTCAATCTCTGCTCAACGTGACAGCAAACGCTCCTCCTAAGGCGTAGAGCTCTAGTGTGCAGTCTACAGAAAGTATGATTTTTGCCCCAAGTAGGAGAAAACTGGTCGCGCAACGGCATGCCGAGCAATAAACATCAAGAATGGATTCACGTTTTAAGGCCATTACAATGAACATGACCGTTTGCTCTAAGCACTTTCAAATGATAGAATATGCGTTATTGCTTTCAAATAATTACAAAAACAAATAAAAATGAATGCTTGAAGCATTTTAAGCATGTCTCTGTTAGCCAGCCATTCGCGACAAGAGCTTAGAACGGGTAGTATTGGTAAAGTGGGCCGCAACGTTGCAAATAACACGGTACACAAATGTATGATATATTAAAGTATTTCTTTTTTAACACAGCCATAAATAAAACCATGAAACACGCCGATAATGTTAATAGGCAGTTTTCGCATAGCGTTACCGCAGGCTGCCGTAAGCACGGCTATGCTTCTGGCGCGCTTAAAATCATGCTTCAAAGGCGCAGCCCGTGCTCGGTTGCAACGCTGCGTTGTACGGTAGCCTGCGGTCACACTATCCTAAAATTTCCTAGCAATAAACATAGAGCAGTTTGATCGCGTGTTACAATACCCTAAAACCGCGACGGTAAGCAGCGAGTTGTGAGCCTGTGACACGATGACATATACTGTAAACGCTGCTCTTTCAGAGCTTGACGGTCACCTTGTGTGGCTCACTTTTTAGAGCACTAATGGCCAGGCAAAGTGCAAACACCACAATTTCTTCATCACCCTCAGAAATATTGTGCCACAAAGAGTGACATGCCCGGTGCTCAAAATGGGCTCGCCCTTCACAAAGCTTCGGAAGTTGATTTTTCCGCAATTTTTAAATATGAACATACTCATTTTCCTAACGCTCACCAAAATCTCCGTCACCTGTATTATGCTCCAGCCCGGACCGCTTCTCATTTGCAGACAAATAAATTATTTTACCGCACCCACCAGCACCAGCGAGCAGGCGCACGGGAAATCGTGGCAAATCTATCCCCATCTCTTCCACCATCTTGCAGCTACCGCCCCGCCATCTATAGGGTGTTGGATTTGCGAATAACATTGGTTAAAGCATTTCGAACCCACAATGAAATAAATGTGCATGTACCCAGTGTCCATGGGGCTACCTGATGGATGCTGCTAGTGTGGTCTCTTGTCGTAAGCAGTCGTGAGCAGACGCAACCTGCTTGGCCAGACTCAAACACAAATCTGTGCACCAGCCTTAACCGTTGACATCTTTGTCAGTTTGCTACTCTTCCTGACTTCAGCGGAATCTTGTAATGTAAGTTGATGGCTTTACAAGGCAGTATGGCACAGCCAGGATTATCATTTTTTTTAGGGGGGGGGGGTTGGGAAAGGGGGCAGTTTTTGAGATTATTATTAGGGGTGTGCCAATATTCAAAACTTCGAATACTTCACGAGTAATGCTTGCTATTCAATTCGATTTGTTTCGCACTTTCGCTGTTCGAAGGATTAGAGTTTTTCGAAAACTATGAATAACGTGGAACTCGTTGATTAGTGTCAACTCGCGGTCGAGTTCCCTGTTTTGTTTTTGGACTGCGCAGTATGGTTTCGAGCTTGGCAAACCCAAAAAGCCAACCTAAGTGCCTTTCTTTTTAGTATGAAGCACTGGAAAGTTATTTGCAGACGGTAGCGCAATCTGTCCTTTGCTTGCCATGATGTCTGGATTGCGGAGTTGGTGAAGTGGTCGTGGCACAAACGCTGTGATAGATTTGATGAAGGACTACGATTTGCAACGGCACGTGCATCGTCGTGAGCACAAACGCGACGGACCATTCAAAACCCTTCCTACAGTCACTACACCTAGTTGCTATAGATTCGGATATGGATTTACAACTGACCTCGGCTATCGGCAATATCTGGCTCGAGTTATTTTCTGCTTGATTTTCCGTTTCGTCAGTTTGCCGGTGAAGTCGCCGACTGATTTTTCGGACTTCGCAGGGGACGGAAAAAACGTCAGAATAATAGAGCAGTCTGAAAAATCAGCAGATTAAAAATCTTTCCTTTATTACATATAAGAGGGCTTAAAAAAGCCGTAAATAGTGCCTTGCTTCAGGTTACACCTGCGCGCCTTGTTTTAGGTTACGCCTCCATTTGCGTTCAGAAACTTTTTGTTAGCTTGAGAATCGCCGCCTTGTTTTCTAGCGTTATGGTCAAGTACTTTCTGCACTTCTTAGCGACACATCACGGCGGCGGAAGAACAGATGGGGCAATGACATCCAAGCCAGCGTAGTCCGAAAACATGATTCACCGAGACGAGATTGAGATGAGGTCGAGGCACAAGTTCATGACTGCAAGGGGAAATGAACAAAGCAAAATGGAAACGATGATGATAATGCTGCGCAGCTGGGGAAAAATAACCCGTACAGCGTCACCTAGCAGTAGGACTTTGCAGTATTTAAGTAGCGCTGCCAAACCAGGCCAATCCATGTGCAGCCAACATAGAATCCAAAATGGCCACTTCTCGGTGGTGTTCCCTGCTAGTCACTCGCTACGATTTTGTCTCAAAAATAAAACTTTCGGACTTCAAGCTCTCCGAAACATTGGTCGTGAATATGCACCATTTCTATCGGGTAGGTCACGGTTCCTCCTTTAGGTCCAAAATATCGAACAAATCCGAATTATCGGCACCCGAAAAATCGGTCAACGACTGTACTCCTCTTATTTATTTCTACCCGTTTCCACCGGTAAAAGTGAGACTTGCTCCCTCCACCAAAAAAAACAACTTATTCTTAATGTATTGCTTCTCTGTGGCGCCCTCTATCGACAGAACTATTGCACACGGAAAGAGATTGCACGGAGTCGGTGCAGCTGTGCGACGCAATTTTCGACTTTGTATTGTAGCTTACCGACCCGCCACCGCTTGTGTAATTTCGTTTACGCTCACGTGGTTGCGTTCATCCGCGACGCAATCTTCGACCGTGTTGTGGCTTGCCGACCCGCCTCCACATGTGTACTTTCATTTACGTTCTGTAACTTCACTCCTTGAATGGTTTTAATGGCTGATCTTTTATTTCACCTGCTTATCAGTCACATGTGTGACATTTTTCTTATTGCAATAAAAATAAACTTTTCATAAATGTTAGTTGAAAAAAAAATTCCAGTTGTGTTTTCATTCACATCAAATAGAAAATATTTGTTTTAGAAAATGTTCTTATTTAAAACTACTATTCGTATTCAAAAATATTTGAATCAATTTGATTCGTAACCTTTATTATTTGATTTGCTTCGAAAGATTTTGATACTCGCACACCTCTAATTTTTATAGAAAGAGAGGGGAGGGCAAGGCGAGGGGGAGGGGGGGCAACGTGAGGAGAGACTGTCTACGCCACTGCAAGGCAGTCTCAAAGTGAAGGTACCTCAGAATGCGAAATGGCCAACCCCAAAATGTTAAGAAGTCACAGTAAAAGGACGAAATGGAAGAACTCGACACACAACTGATCTCACCTCCCATCTTCGTTGGACTTGAGGAAGACCAGAAAGGGGTCAGACTTTCCCCTAAAATCTTTCTTGTCCAGCTTCTTGGCTGACCACTGCATTGTCACCACTTCCTGAAAGTAAGAAGCCACAACAAAAGATCCAGAGCGAGTTCGAGGCCCACCAGAACCACTAACACTTAGAACCACAATGAGAACCTGACCCACTAAGCTTGAACGTAACGAGATGGCAGGCTCTGATTGGCTGGCGAAATCAAACAGGCGGACTGTAATCGATAAACCCATCTGTTGCTGACTAAGAAGACCTATGTGAGTGGTGAATATGGTAGGCATTAAGAGGAGAATAGGCACCCACAGCGGAGACCAGACAAACTACAAACGCGAGTTTTTGTTGTACCCTAGGTTTGCTTGTGAACAACATACAATTTGAAGATGCCAACATGTCACATTTTTTGGCTGATATTATGGCCATGTACAGTACGCTCGCGATAATTCGAACTCGGATGTTTCATACTTTCGGTTAATTCAAACAAATTTCAAAATGCTGGTTATCCCGCTATGTTTTTAATGTATTCATAAGCCACTTAATTCGAACGGCGTTTTCGTGTAATTCATACTTTTTAATCTCGCAGCCCCGTTGAGTGCGCTTCTTTCCGAGCACGGGTGCACTGCAGGGAATGAACATCTGCGGAGCTTGCTTCCGCGCGTGTTGCTTCTCTGCGGTGCACCAGTGCTCGGTAAGAAGCGCCCTCAACGGGGCTTAAGTGGGCCTACATGAGCTATAATAGTAGTGATGGACCAAATCTGCCGCTTCAGATTCGGCAAAGCTCCGAACTTTCGAAGGAAAGTTCGGCAGAGATTCGGCAAACACCTGCGCACGCGCGAGTATGGGACGGGGCCATGGATTGCAAATGGACGCCGTGCGATTGTGTGGTTACCATTGTATACAGTGTAGTACTACCAGCGGTTACGGCGAGGTGCGGAGTGGGCGACATGGTAAAGTTTGGCTTACCCTGTGGTCACTTCCTCTTCTTCACTATGGTCGTCCTCTTGTCTTGTGTAGACGCTACCATTCCCTATGGCCTGATCTGGTTTTAACTCCGAAAATGCTGCTTCAATTGTATGTCTAATGTATTCGCTTGCCTCTTCCCCCTCTACCTTTGTCCCTTCCTGTGTGGTTAGTGTCTGCTGGTACCCCTCGGTCTTTTTTCCCCTGTGCACTGATGCATTACCAGAACCTTTTTGCCGCATTCCTATCATTCTGGTTTATCTCTATCATCCACTGGACCCCCGCCCTCCCAATTTTGAATTGTATCAATGCTGATGCCTCCCACTTTCTTTCTTGAAAGTCCTGCCATTTTGATGCTACTTCAGCTAGTGAGGCCCCTTTTTCTTTGCCCATATGTGTTCGCTAGATGCCGCTTAGCGTCTCGATATTGCTTCCATAACCTCTTTAGCCCTCCAGCTTCTGAGCTTGCATTTTACTTTTCTTCCTCCTCGTTTGATTCAATATTTTTCTCTCTTTTGAAACCATATATGTCTTCATATGTCCATTCTCTTTCCGTTTGCTCTGATACTATGTTCTCGATGTGCTTAGATATCTCCTGTACTTGTTCTGGTTCTACAGTGCCAAATCTGATCTTGATTCTCTTTTGTTTGCTTTCCAGACTTTTTGTGCCTTCCTCATCTATTTCCATACCTCCTTAATCTGTTGTTTGCTTCCGCGACATTAAACAGTAGTCAATAATAGAGTGTGAGTTCTTTCTTTCACACATTATTTTTCCATCACATTTTACCTGAGCGTTAACCAATACCAGATCAGGAGCTTTGCAAAACTTCTCTACCATCCTCGCTGCTGTATCCGTATGTCCAACCCAAGATAATTATTTCCCTGGTAGTGCCAATTTCCCTAACGTCTCCCGATATGCATGTTAAGTGCTCTGCGTTTCCCTCCCCTGCATCATTCCCTGTTTTTAGACACAAAACCCAGGCTTGTGTCCAAACCCCCATACTGCCTTTGATCCACATGTGTTCCCTACAGCCCTCTCGTTCCCTTTCCCATTCCTGACCCTTAACTAACACCCCTAATCCCCCTCCCTTGGTTTCCTTTTTGGCCCGGTTGCATCCCATCCAATGATATCCCCGTATGTATGGTGGTTCTTCCATATCCCTCAGATGTGTTTCTGCTAATCCATACATTGCAAAGTTCTCGCTTTCTAACTGCTCCTCAATCTCCTCCCACTTTATTCTGTTCCTGCCCCACCCGCATGTTTATGAACCCTACATTAAGCTGTTTCTTTTTCCTATTCTCCTAGTTTACAGGTTTCTTTTTTCCTTTTTAATTGTTTTTTTAAATGTAGTAGAATGGTTTTTCAATGTCCTCAGGAAAATACATACACCACGAAACACAAAATACAGCGGCAAAAGACGAGAATTTAGACGCCAGCAGTGTTTGAAACTGCGCCTACCCAGGCTGTGCCTATCGAAATCACAGTCCACTCGGTTAGGGTTAGCAGGGATGCCGGTAAAGGCCCGTTCACACTCTTGCGACCTCTTAAACCTGGGTTCCCTAAAACTTCTTAAACCAGAGAACACACTGGCGCCATCTATTCGCAACTCCAACGCCCTATAGGTGGCGGGGCGGTAGTTCCAAGATGGCGGAAGAGACGGGGATAGATTTTCCAAGATATACCTGCGCCTGATCGCTGACGCTGTTCAGCGCGCTAAAAATGACTAATTTGTCTACAAATGCGAAGCGGTTAGGGAGGGATCATATTACAGGTGACGGAGATGCCGACCCACGTTAGGAAAACGAGCATGCTGATATTTAAAAGTTGCAGAAACCTCAAATGGCGAAGCATTGTGGTGAGCGAGCGCGTTGGCACCGGCCACGTTACTGTTTGTGGCAGAATATTTTTGAGGGCGATGAAGATATGTTTCCGCTTCGCCTAGCCATTAGAGCTCTAATAAGAGAGCCACGAACGGTGACCGTCAACCTTGGGAAAAGCAGCGTTCACAGTATTGGTGTCTTCGCGTCGCAGCCTCACAACTCGCTGCTCACCGTCTCGGTTTTAGTGCATTGCAACACGTGATCAAACTGCTCTATGGTTACTGATAGAAAGTTTGTCACCACAGGCTACTGTGCGGTGTAGCGTTACAACCGCAAGCTCACGCTGCGCCTTTGAAGCAGAATTTTCAGTGCGCGCCAAGAGCGTTGCCGTGCTCATCACTCTAAAGAAAAGAGAAAAGAATGCTGTTGTCCTTACACTTCTTGTTACATATACGGCACTCCGAAACTTCAGTTCGTCATGCAGCCCTCTGACGTCAAACTGACGGCTCCAACGAGAGGCTTGATGACGGCGTAATATGAGATATTAAACAGCTAAAGTAGGCATCAAAGAGTACCGAAAAAAAAGAAGAAACACCGAGGTTTTGCAGTAGAACCAAAAAAAAAACGATTACTTCCTTAAGCTATTTTAATAAGCTGCACAACTCGGCTATCAAGCCGCTCGTGAAAGTTGGTAGCGCCTGTTGAACGTCAGTGCGCTGTACGTTCAACTGAAGTTTAGGGGTGTCGTACGCTATGCACAAACTGCCTATTAACATAATCGGCGCGTTTAGGGGTTTTATTTATTGCACTATCAAAAATAAATATTTTAATATACCGTACATTTTTTCTGTAGTGTTATTTGAAAACATTGCGGTCCCTCTGGCCAAAACTGCGCGTTCTAAGCTCTCGTCACGAACGGCTGGCTAACACAGACGCGCTTAAAATGCCTTGAGCATTTCTTTACTTGCTTTGTAATTACCTGAAACCAAGCACGGGTATTCTGTGTTTTTAAAGTGCTTGGAATGAATGGTCATGTTCCTTGTAACGGCCTTAAAACGCGAACCCCTTCCCGATGTGTATTGCTCGACATACCGTTGCGCGACGAGTTTTCTCCTACTTATGGCAAAGAATACACTTTTTTGTAGACCGTACTATAGAGCTTTTCATTATTAGCAGGAGCGTTTTCCGTCACGTTGAGCACAGATTGAGCTGGCGGCCATGCACAAGACCAGAAATCCGCAGCGTATGCGATACACGGAAAGTCCCTAATGAAATTAGACATCCCGGTTCTTCGTGCAACGCTGTTGCAAGGCAGAGCACGAGAATTTCCATTTGAACGCGCTCACTTTTTTCGTTAAAACGGCTTCCCGCATCAAGGCCGGCAGTCCCTGCCACCGTTTCCGCGCCACCGCCGCCGCTGCCGTCCCCGCTCCTCTGGTTCTCCGTTCGTCCGCGGGAGGGCGAGCGCCGCGCTGGAGTTGCGAATTGGGAAGCAGTGTAAACTCGGCGGTCCGGCATATTTTTTTTTTATTTCTCGCGCATTGTACTTTCGTTTTTGGCTCGAAAAACTTTTGTCAATGTTATAAACGAGCCTTTCTATGGGTATTACGCACATTTGACATTGGAAATCCCGCAAAACCTTCGCTCTTGTGAAATGCAGTTCCAGGGTCACCGCATAGATGGCGCCACAATGCCAGTGTGTTCCCTCATTCTAAAAACATTTAAGAAGTTGTAAGAGATCTCGTCTCTCTCAGTCGTACTCGGTCGCAAGAGTGTGAACGGGCCTTAACTTAAGTGTCTAGCCTCAAACCCAGTGACTAGACTCGAAAACGATTTGCTGCCTCTGGGGTCGAGCGTTTCTTGGAAAGGTGTATAGGTAACACAGATTAATGCCAGCAGCTCATTGGCCAAAGTTAAAAACTTATTGCACCACCCCTTAAAGTTCATTAAAAAGCCATAATTTCCACACAGGCTTTTAACGATGCTAATTTGTGTCTTAAATTGGTGCAGTTGCACGTTTGTTCGCTACAAAAAGCAAATGTAGACAATAGAGACTCGACACATAGATACGCAGAGCCAAGAGTTTGGCTTACCCTGCAAGAGCTCACTTCTTCAGCAATCACTGCAAAAAGAAATTAGTAACTGTCAGAATATCTACAATGTCTAGAAATGTTATTTGTTACAATTTATCATTACACAAAAATCACACAAATTAAGATTAAAGAAAACAAAAAACTTAAGGATATTTAAATTTTTTCAAATTGTACATTGCTTATTCTCACAATTTTGAAATTAGTCATGCCAGAAGCTCCAAATAAAATGACATGTTTACCCCAATTCACGCACAACAAAATGCTACAGCTGTATGGAATGTATAAAATCCAAGTCCTTCCAAAGATTATTCCCCCTTCACAAAGGAAAACAGTTTACATATGACATTTGTATTTTCAGGTTTCATAAGCAACTTTGGTGCACCAAAAATACCTCCCACACTCTTTCAGTTACTTTGTCCCATTACTAATTTGAGCGACACACTAATTCAGGCAAAAACGCCTTTTCCTACACACCTGTAATGCTCCCAAGCTTTTTGTTGCCACTGGGATTCCTGCGAACAGAAAGGGGAGGTGGGGCGGATCACTGGTACCCATGCCAACTCGTGCATTCGAGAGGAATGCATTTAATAAATAAATATGATGCGGACAAAAAAAAAAGAAGCCCGGAGAGTTCTGGGAAAAGACAAGAATGACACATACGTGAGAGGTCTGATGAACCTGCTTCCCTGAACCGAAACGATTTCGCCCAGCGTGCAGTCCATGCTACCAAGGAAATCCTAGAGTTTGTGGAAAGAACAGGAGTGCCAGATGCCCAAGAGGTTAGAGCCCTAAACTGGATTGGATTAGATTCAATCTAATCCAATGCACTGAAACCATGGTTGCCCAGAGCACATCTCCGAATGACATGTTTACTGTGTCCTCAAAAGTGATCCCCGATTTCCATCCAATGACGTCACAAAGCAGCAATGCTGGTGGAGTTGCAGCGGTGGGAGTGAATGTGGCAGATGTCTGTTCCGCTGCAAGTTGCTCCTCAGCCAGACGGCCGACGGAAACCAAAGTAGATGCAAGAATGGACGCTGCTCGCTTTTTTCGCCAGCGTTTCTACAACCGACCACTGAGATCGCAACGTACAACGGCCCGACGCGGTGCCGACGTGACGCAATTCGATGCTACTTCGCTATCTCTTTTTATGCATCGGTGGGATGATTAGGCAGTAAACAAGTCAGTCAACGATGAGCTGCGGGCACTTGAGTTGCAACGCGAAGCCTCAAGGAAACGCCGTCTTACATGGTCTTCGAGTCTCTGGCTTTTGGAGTCGGCGTCATACCTGTTTGGTAGAGGGAAACAGACGTGTTTGGGACGGCCGACTTTACCCCACTGAACCAAAGCCAGACGCCAAGAGCGTCGAGCGCCAACGAGATAGAGAGTGAACTGAAATCTAGGTGATTGTAATTACACCTCGAATCTCATCTTTTGGCTCTCTTCAAAGTAGTAGTCCTCGGTGAACTTTTTGATGAAATCGGGATCCTGAGTGTTCTTGATGACTTCTGTCCGTCCGATCTGAAAAAAGTCAAAGGGGGGGGGGGGGGGGGGGTGCATTTGCAGCACTAGCATTTGAGCCTATGTATGTAAGCTTTCTGGCATCTACGCAAAAGTAGGAAATTTCAAACATGCAAGCGTGCCTCGGCAAAACGACCGTTTGGGAGTATGTCTTGATCAAGGAGGGAACTAGGTTCAAAATGAAGCAAAGGTAAGAATGGCATGCTTCAGTCCTGCTCATGAGATTATGTTGCTTCATAATGACAATTTCAAAACTTAAGAGAGGGAAGGATCATTTGGCTTCCTACAATGAGCTTGTTTCATGGTTTTTTTATTTACATTATCCCCCTATTTGTTATACACAAAAGTAGGGCAAAAAATGTCAAAGCCTAGTAAGCACCGAGAGAGAGAGCTAAGTGCTACAAACAAGTTTTCCTTAGAGCAAGAAACAATGTCCTGGGATCTTTGCTAGAGGTAAAGCAAGGAGTGGATTTGCTTCCCAATTAATTTTTATTTTACTGCTTATTGTTATGACCCTCGTAAAACTGGGCCACACAATGTATCCATGATAAAAACATAAAAAGAAATGCAGCAATAAAGAAAATGATAAGGAATACTGAGGGTACAAAGTGATAAGTAAAAACCACAACTTCAAAATGCAAAACTAAAAAAAAGAAAACTAAAAAAACTATATGATTGTTTTTTTTTTTCTAACAGTAGAAACAGCAGAGTAAATTAAGAAATTCTGTTAAGATAGCTGGAAAGGAGCCAATGCTTTGACAACTTTAAGTCCCTGAGCATATGGAACACCATTTTGGGAACAAGAACAATAAAATTATATGAAATTGAGATGCTTTGAAAACCGCTGCTTTCAGCATTGTCTGCCAGTTCTGCTGTCTGGCCTGTCCCTGACTGTCCCATGAAAGATTGTGACAATTTTTAGTAAGGTAGTATAGCATCTTAAGAGCTCTACCAGCGCATGTCCTGTGGTACAGGATGATGATGCGGCGGTTCAAAGAATATACAGGCATGCAGTCTGTAGTAATACCTCCGAGTATTGTTGGCTGCCACCTCGGCACATCAGCACCACACACATGGGATCCGACTTGGACGTGACGTCTGTGTCTCTTAAATTTCTAAGGGAAAGAATAAATGAGAATATGTGAGACGGCAGATTCAAAAGTCGAATCAGCCAACAGCACCATTTGCTCTACAACTTAAAAACTCAATGCATTCATGCAGTTATTAGCAGAAGGTGCGTACCAAATTACTTCTTATAAATGACCCGACTCTTTCAGGTTTTCCCTGACTATTCTTATTAAATTCCACGACCATTTTAAAAGGAGGAGAATCTGGATTTTAATTTGGGTTGGTCCAGCCTAAATTAAAAGAACGCTTCCTTGACTAGCTGTGAACTCTCACATATATTCTCTTTAAAAATACAACTTCAGGAAACTCGGTACCAAAACAAGCCCACATATCACACGCACAAATGGCCTAAAGGTTCAAAGTGCAGGTTTAACAAAACCAATAGTTTTCTTCATCTCCTACGTCATTGCACGTGGTGTCCTCATGCTTTACTGCACGTCACCGCAGCACTCTCCTCTGTCATTTTCCCTGATTTAGCCAACTTCTTAACCCCCCGACAATTCTTCGACTTTTCCAGGTGCTTTAGAATTCCCCAACAATTCCAGGTTTTCCAGTTTGGTAGACACCATGGCTAATCATAGCTCGTTCTACGGGACCAACATTAAAGTCAGTAAAAGTGTTTTGCTGGTGGCCGTACTTGCATGAAATACTGAGCTCGACTTTGGAACATGGTGCCACCGCAGCTCCTGGCTGGAACGTGTTCATTTTCTAGAAACGACAGAAGCAAGTTAGGAAATAAAGAAACTGACACAAAAGACGATTAAGCACATGATTATATAAATAAAAGATGCTTTTAAGCATTGAAACTTCGTAAAACAGGTCACCTCATCCACAAGTTGAACGCAGTCACGTTCAAACAGAAGAACAAACTCACAAATGCATGCCGGTGCAAACGCCCTCTTTGAACACAGACGAACATACATTCGACTTGAATGAGTCTGAACAAGGTGCTTCAACTGTGCACACAAAATTACGTAGTTTAAGCATCAAACACTGTGAACTAATTATGGATTATGCACTTGAGCGTCTCAAATGGGTCACGCCCACAAATTCCCCCAAGATTCGAGCCATGGCCAACTCTGTGCACACATACGGTATCACCTATGCGATTTAGCATCGTTAGGCGGTCTGTATCACGTGCCAAGTATCATACAATTAATTTTAAATGGCGTCTGCTAACTTTCGTGAAATCGTTCAACACTGGGACCACAACTTGCGAATCAGCCTGTGAAAGAGCTGTTGAATTTAGGTTGTAGCTGTTTGTGTACGAAATAAGACGCTAATAAATCAAAATTACACGTCAGATCTCACCTGTATTTGTTTTGTAAGGCCTCCGGCGTCTTAATAAACCGAGGGGTATACCAGTTTTCCTTGTAAAACGCAACGATCAGCGAGCTTTGCAAGGATGTTTACAATTTACAAACACTCGGAGAACGCGGGCCGCCGCGGCCGTTGGGCTTCACTGCAAGTGTGCGTACTCTCTCCCGAAATCGAGAGAGAGATCGTTTGATGACGAAGTTGATACAACGCGCAGTTGAAAGTAACGAATCTAACACTACACCGTGATCTAACACTGTAAAATACGGTGGCGTTCTGAGCGATTTGAAGTCCAAAGCAGTAAACAAGGGGTTTTTCGGAAGTTGGAGAGAGGTTTGGGCGATTCTGGACGAGACACACATATCTGCGGGCAACAACGGGAGTCGTTGATTTTTAAAAATGGCGACCACGGAGCTTGTCGAGGTACGCTACTTTGGATCTGGAAATATCGTATTTATTCTTATTATCGTCGATTGTTTCACCACAGTGACGTAACAGAAAAGGGAAACGACAACCAAGATCATGTTTGGATTACCTTACCGTGGATTCCAGACGTTGTCTTGCGCTAAAAACGCCGTTTTTTTTTCGTTTCTTCCGGCCTAGATGTTTGTAAACATGCAATTGTAGAAAAAACGTCACTTTTTAACATTATTTAAAGCTTGAACCGGCTCTTTAATTATCTATTTTTGTTTTCCTTCAGGCGCTTCCCAGCACGCTTTCGATGCGCGAGAAAGCGATGCTAAAGGAAGAGATCAACAAGCGACACAACGGCAACTTCAGCGCCGGGTACGTTCCGATCTTCGAAAGCACCTTGCACAAAACCGGGCTCAGGGGTCGCAAAGCACTCCTCTTTTACGGCTTGGTGGTGGGACTCTTCATCGTGTCGCTCGCGAACCTCGCCGTGAGTTTCTCGCACGTCTTTTCTGCACGCCTGCTCGTCCACAATGCAACCAAATGCTTTTTTTTTTCTCTTTTTTTTTTAAATCTTTATTGTTTGTTTTTACGTCATCCTCTTCCATTCTAATCTGTGACCTCCTCTCATCCTCCACCCTCCTTTCTCTTTTCTTCTACCCCCTTTCGCCATTACCCTCCTCCCGAGAATTCGATTGGTTCATCCCTTCGCTGTCTTTAACCTGCGCAGTCGTGTCGGTTGTCTGCCCTGCCCTGCCCTCCTCTGCCAGTGCCTTCCTCTTTTTTCTTTTTTTGCTATCCATGAAGTGCGGTAGAGGAGAACATTACAAGTATACAAGAGTGTTTGGACAGCCCAAATCTCTTCTTTTTAACACGGAATGTGTTTTCTCAGCAGAGTTCTATTAAGAAAACCATCAAAGAATTGTCATGAAGCACTGTGACATCATGATGCCATGTGACACCATGGTGTATCATGTGACCTCATGATACGATGTGACACCATAACGTGTTAAGTCGCAGTCACTTGACCTCGTACGTCACACACTTGCATAACATGTGCCCGGCTCATTCACAACACATGCTCCCTGGTCTTTTCTTAGAGTGATCAAGCTAGCGTAATTTTTCGACAGTAGCCTACATTATTGCAGCACCAACAACTCTGTCTCACTGGAGAGTCTGCAAGTATGCAAATCGTTTTTAGTAGCAAACCAATGAGTTCTTTGTAGTATGTATGGATGGTAGGTATTGGCTATTCCCTTTGCATCAGACGGTAGCTTGTGTCACCTAGCGTGTTTCACCATTGCATAAATTCAGGGTGGCCAATCATGCAGCATGATGCCTGTTTATTGTAACCGGTGCCCTTGCCCCTTGGCGTTGATCTCGATAGTTGCGTTCCACTTCATATATCCTTTCGCGAGGCTTCCTAAGCTGGTTACGATTGTATTTCGACGTTGACGTGTGGTGCAGGTGACTATGATGCTAGTGGGTGTGCTGCGGATTGGGTACGGCATGGAAAGCTTGGAGTTCCTTCCCGGGGCGCAGCTCGTCAGGTTCCTCAACAACGCGGACCTTGGAAGGGTGATTCTTCACAAGGGAGTGATCGGCGCATTTAAGGACTCGGACCTCACCATCACTGGGAACGCTCATCCGGCAAGTCTGAAAATCTTTTTTGTCCGCATTCGGTGACAAGTTGAGGCCCCTGTACATGCTCTGTTTCGAGCACGAGCTTGGTGCCTTTGGAAACGCTGCGTCGTACGCGCAGCTAGAGCAAGGCGGAAGGCAGCAAGCGTGCACTAAAGGCAAAGCTTCTACTGAGTTCTTCATGTGTCACTGACTATAGCTGTTTATGCAGTTTCTGCTCGTTTTTATATCCATATCATCGTACAAACTACCACACCCTAAATCTCATTAAAAAAAAAACAAAAAAACTAAAAGACAGAGATGTGTGTTGAAGTGTACAGATTTTTTTTCATTGTTTTGCGTGCATTCTGGTCAAAACGTGCACAAACTATGAGGACAGCTTACAGAACAAACACGACTGAGAAGCGCTCGCTCACAACTGGCAGTCTAATCAAATTTCTGAGGTCACAGAGAAAAGAGAGGTCTCTCTCGTCCCTCCCTCCCCCTTTTTTCTCATGCGTGGAACAATTCATCCCAGCTTTGAAACTAAAAGAAATAACCCTGGTCACGAATCCTAACTAAAAACATGCTGCCATGGCGAAGATCAAAACCATATTTCAGCATCTGTTAAAATACTTCTTGTTTTGTGTATGTATTTTGAAAATCTGTTTTTGTACACTTTGTTTTATGTACTCCCCTGCATAATGCCTAATGACACATCAGGTATTGTGTAGATAAATCAAATGAATGAATGCATATAGGTAGTGAAGGCGTGAATCTTTGCACATTGGTGCTGTAGGCATCATGAGTAATGTTACTACTGTCCTTTAGATGTATTATTTATTGTTTTATGTACTCTCCCCTGCATAATGCCCAATGACACAGGAGGTATTATATAGATAAATCAAATAAGGGAATATCTATAGGGAGTGAAAGTGTTGAATCTTTGCACATTGGTGCTGTAGATGTCATGAGTAATGTTACCACTGTCCTTTAGATGTATTAATAAAAAAATTGCTGAAAAGCATAATGGGTTTGAGTGTCTCTGAAAAACCTCCTAGTAGAAAACAAACAACCAGCAGGCTACAATTTGTTAGTTCACTTTACTTTGCTCCAATTTTTTTTTTTTTTGCTGCTGACATAGTGGAGATGTTTCTTTTTTTTGTTTTGCACTACTATACTGTAGAAAAGAAGTAGCATAAAGTTATTTAGGAATCATCAGTTTCTCTGCGTTTCTAAACTCCTGGAACGTAGTGGCTTCCTAGGACATTAGCCCAAGCTAGCCTCTCTATTGTTCCATTCTTTCAGTTTCTCAAAACAACCAAAAACCTATGCTACACAGAATGTGCACAATGCTAAAATTTCATTAAAGAAAAAAATTGCCTCTGTAAAAGTGTAATGTACATTGGCACACACAATTTCATTAGAAAATTTAGCAGGAAAATTGAATTGTGTGTTGCGATGTGACCCTAGCACATGGAGGTAGGAAGCTTTTGGAGGCGACACCACGCCACCAGAGGTGAAGACAAAAGTATGGAAGATCATGCCCTTAACAATGACCAAAACCAAGAGACGCTATTGGACGGAAAGGAGAGCTGACTTGGCTCCAGCAGCTGTTTTGGTTACCCTTGGAGGCGTTCCCACCGACAGCATCCTCTACTTCCGGCTTCACTTGGGATTTTCCCGTTTGGCTGGCTTGAGCTGGTATGCTGCCTCCTCTTCTTCCGAACCCCATTCCAAAGCATGTTGTATATACAGGCACCATGACATCATGGAGTCATGTGACACTTTGGCTGTGCTACACCAATCCAGGGCAGCTCAAAACACTGTGCAACATTTTGTGTCACCCAACTTAATAGTATTTACTGTTTTTTTTTTAATAATGTCATTTAGTTTGTTTTGCTGATGGTTTTTACTTCGCTGAAAGTACAGTTCCGGACAAGTGAGGCTGTGACGCACTGCCCAGCAGTATATAGAACAGTGGTTCTCAACCACTAATGTTTCAGGGTCAACCACTAATGTTTCTGGATCAGTGGAAGTGATGGTGGACTCCATCCACAGGGGGCAGAGAGGTGGTATTGGATGATTACAATGACAAAAGTAAAATTTGAAACATGTTTATAGCTCTGAAACAGATAATAACCAGCCGTACTAACTTGGCACACATGGTTTGGTCTATTTAGCTTTGTTAGATATTCAATATCAATAAAAAACAAGTTATTGCTTGGCTCGATTGAGAGTCGAGGGCTTTAGGTTCCCTGGGAAGGCCTTCAGGGACCCCAAAGAGATTGCAGATCCCCTTTTGAGAACCACAAATGGCTTTCTAAAACTCCCTATTAGCAGTATTGCGTCGTCGTCTACACCCCTAAAGTTTCAGGGGAAGGGAGGGTGGCAGAGCATGTGTTTTCTCTTGCACCCCCCTCTTGACGCCCATGATAGTGGCCAACCAAGACAGCTCCTGTTTACTGCCCCAGAGCTATCCTCAACATAATACGGAAAGAAAGTTTGTCTGCTTCTTTTGCGGGGGTTGTGGTGGCGTCGGCTCCGATCGGCTCTGATTGAAGGGCGGTGGGTAGACTCGAGGCAAGCTGCTTCAAGGTCTGCCCACTATCCTTCAAGCAGAGCCAATTGGAGCTTGGCGTTCTGCCGTCACCACCACCCCTGCAAAAGCAGTGGACGAACTTGTGCTCCGCATAAAACTGGTCAAAGAGAGAAGAAACACGGGACAAACGGGCACTGTCTCTTGGACGAGACATGTTGATGAACGAGAAAAAAAAGAGAGGGAACAAGTAGAGAAATGTCGTTCTCGTCATGCACAAGGCTGAAATCCGCCGTATCGTTGGTCTTGGCGCACGCAGGTGATCGTGAGGACGGTGGAACACGGGCGGCCGGGCCGACCGCGGTCTGAGGTCGCATCCGGCGCGAGCCTGGAAGTGGGTCCGGACAGGACGGTGGTGAGCAACGTCGGGGAGTTCCGGGTGCGCAGTCCGACCACGGGGCGCACAATCTTCTCGACGGAGTACCAGGGCTTCGACCTGCCCAAGGGCATCCCCAACCTCAACGTGAAGGAAGCCCACGTCTCTCGGGTGAGCGCGCCTTGTTCGAGTCGCAGCTGAAAAATGTTTTAGGGGAGGATACTACCCAAGAGTCAACTTTTAAAACCTTTGACTTAATCGAATGAAATTTATAGTATGTACTGGCAGTTGCGAGGCAGAATGCAGTGCAAAGTTTCATTTGTGTACATAAATTGTGAAAAGTATACAATACAATTTCCTGTTACGCTGAATTAGCGCGCAGCTCTTGAGGAGGAGGAGGAGGAGGGGAGGGTATGGAGAGGAGGGTATCCTCTCTTCTCCCTTCCTCCTCCTCCCCCTCCTGTCCTTCTCCTCCCCCTCCGTCCCTCTCTCCCTCGTGACGTCACTTCTGACCTTCGTGACCCTTGTGACGTCACGTGTGGTGTCATTATGGGAAGCGTCCCATAATGCAATGCGCGGTTACGCCGGTGGCAACGGCACTCAAGCCGGAAACGGGCGCCTAAGAGCTGCGCTCTAAAAAAATGCTAAAGCGTTTTGGAATCCGAAGCGCTTGAATGGTCCTGCACACATTGCGATTTCCAGCTGACAAGTGCCAAGCAAGACTCGCTGCTTATCTCGTCGCCATACCAAATAATGCTGAAGGGCAACGCTGGACTTGACATGGAAGGGCAGAACGTCACGCTGTCGGCGGGACACAACCTCTTCCTGAGGAGTGTGGTACGCGGCCGACTTGCCTTTTTGCCTTGCTCGTGGACTGTTCGTGCGTTTGCGTGGAAGTGTGATCGACTGCGGTGCAACCGCGCCTTGGAATAAGTCCGATCCACGTATATTTCAAAATTTTTCTATGCGTTGTTCTTTCGCTGTGTGCTTCGATTAATTCTGACAGTTTTATAAGCGACCGTTTTTCGTAAACAGCGCTTAAATTTAAGCTCGCAAGTACTGCAAAATCTTCAGTCTAGTTATACACGGGTCGGAGGCGTTTACAGGGCTGCCTGACAGATCCTTTCAAAGCGGTAATGCCGCTTGGTAAAAGCTAGGGACCGCCACAGTGCTTGTAAACCCGCAAGTACAGCAGCTAGGTTATGGATGTATGATATCAGAATTCCAACCTAAATATTACTGGAGTTGGGAGCGAAAAACAAATATGGAAGGGTTCTGTTAAGCCTTCTTTCTCAGTCCTGGTGCGATGTTGTAGGCAAGCTATGCAAGTTTGAAATCTGTGCTCTTTAGTGTTTTTGGTTATTTTTCTATGGTTTTGTTGCCCACTTAGTTCAAGCGCCCATTATTAACATTTCACAAACTTGTGAATTCTGCAAACTGTACGTTAAGCACCCGATTTCACCGGTCAAGTGCCTATGTGTAGATTAGACCAGTTTTCAGAGAAAGTGGGGTGGGTGCTTGCCCGGTATTTTACAGTAGGTTATGTATTTAAAGTGATTCCATGATCTAGGATAGATCTGTTTGTGGAAAAATCCGAAGCTGAGGCATGAAATATGCATTATTCACTGCTGCTCCAAACTATCAAGGACCCGTATCCTTTGCGTCCTTGTCCGTCCTTCGCAGTATTTAAGTTAATACTCAGGACTGCTTCTCAAGTGATAATGTTTTGCAAACCTTTAGAGCAATAAAAGGTTACCATGAAATCCAGAACTCATTGGAGTCCCCTTCAAGGGTATGTCTGAAGTGCAAGGCTGTTTGTCTGAGTATGTCATCCTGATGGAGACTGAAGCGTAGTATGCCTGTCTTCATGTTTCCAGAACCAGAGCGTGACACTGGACGGACGCAAGGGAATTCGACTCTCCGTCGACAAGATGCCGATTTCCACGGATCCCTCGAGCGGAGCTCAGTTTCAGTACAAGCTGTGCGTCTGCATGCCTTCGGGCCGTCTCTTCAGGGTCCCCGTGAGGGAGCAGGGGTTCGGGTGCAACGACGTGCGGTTCCCGGAAAGCATCAACCCTTGCAGCTAGTCTGTGAGGTCATCTCGCAAGGAGTCTTCCCGTTTTCTCCAGGGTCATGCTCCATTGGGAGCACTGTCGAAGCAATCTAGTCCAAGGTCTTTTTAGAGCAGATGTAAAGTTGACCACTTAAAAGTGGCTCCAACAACACATCCTTCACGTGTGTTATACTCCACGACAACTTTTCTTGGCAATGCAGTGGAAGGTACGTCCCGCGTCCCCTCTCCCATTTTCAGTGTACGCAGGCTCTACTCCTCCCTCATTTCCAGGGAGAGGAGGAGAGCTCGCGCACACTCAAAATGGGAGAGGGGACGCGGGACGTACCTTCCACTGCATTGCCAAGAAAAGTTGTCGCGGAGTATAGTGCCTGTTCCCACGTAGAGCGCTGTGCTAACCTAAACACTATAGCCAAAGTGCCGACTTTGCGCTGTGTTGGCACTCCGCCGCACGTGACCCGGCTTTTTTTTTAGTTTATACGCACAATGCAGCACTGGTTCAGCACTGAATCAGTGCTGAAACTACTGTAGGTTCTTATTGTTTTTGTGTACACATATGTTGTAAACCACTCCTACCACGTCTCCTGAAATAGGAGACAGTAGTATTAATAAATAATTAACTCAAACTCCAGGAAGTCACGGATTTTGTTTGAATCATCAGATGTTCATCTAAATATGATGCGAGATACAATTATGATTTGTTGTATGAATGGCTACACATACAAGGCAGATGTTTGATGATTTCCTCTATATGGACCAGCCAATCATAAGCAGGTATACGACACAATTAAACATTGGTAAAATGTACGAGATTAGTTTTTTCATCTCTCGAAAATTCCGTCTCTCGTGAACTGTTCGGAATGTGCACGACACCTGAAAGCAAAATCAAGTTTGTTCGTCCACCAAAAAAGTCTTCCATTGTGGACTATTAGCCCTGTTGAGTGCGCTTCCTAGCGAGCACCGGTGCACTGCGGAGAAGCAATACCCCCGAAAGCTAGCTCTGCGGGCATTGCTTCCCCGCAGTGCACCGGTGCTCGGTAAAAAGCACGCTCAGCGGGGCCGCGACAACAAAAGGTATGAATTATGTGAAAACGCTGTTCGAACTAAGCGGCTTATAAATACATGGAAGACGTAGTGAAACAACCGAAAATTTTGCAATTTATTTGAATTAACCAGGAGTATGAAATATCAGTTTGAATTATCACGAGCCTACTGGATGAAAGCGGCAGAGCCATGCTCGTTGCCTTTTCTATGTGTTTTGGCTGTGCGTGCACCCTCACGGGCTCGTGATTGAAAATAGGAAGCTCATGCTGGATGCGGGACTGCTGAAACTTCTCTCCATCATTTTCATCCCGTTGTGACTAGCGCAGGTGCAGTACTGGATTTTGGCTTTGCGCCTTGTCAGCAATGTGCTGCGCTGCACGTTTTAACTGGCGTTTATCTTCTTGGGATGCAATGTTCTGTGCTCACAGTTCGTTAGATGTGGGATGAAGAAAATGAGTAATTGGAGAACCACTACGTATCTCAAGTATTGTACTTTTGACGTTGGGTTGGAAGTTTAGTGTCGTGCTGTGGTGTGCAAACCTGTACTGCTCGTTTGGTACTTGGAACATCGAAGCATTCTTTCGAAGCTGGATCTTTTATCGGTATGACAGGCAATGTGTTTCAAAAACATTTTTGTGCCGAAAAATTTCTCTACTGGTGGAAGTTTTGGCTAGATTTCCTTATAGCTTGTCGACGAGATAGATTTGTCGTTTATTTAGAGTTTTGGTGAAGCCCTATATGTAGCATGTGGTTCTTCGTCTCAGTCAAGACCAGATTTATGATTTCAGGGGGTCACGTTCTTGAAACATCTAGTTGTAACCGATCTCCGATTCCACTCTCGTGCTTGCAATTTTCCTCGCTTCTTGTGAACTGCAATATACATCCAGTTCATTTCATACGCTGTAGTCAATGTCTTGGAACTTTATGCATATACTCTCTTCAACTTCTAGGCAGTCTTATCGAAACGTACAGCCCAAGGTTTCTCGGGATGTTGTTCCTGAAATGTGTCATGTGCTCCAAAGTCTGTAAAAGCTCTGCATTGCCAACTTAGTGCACCAAGACTTCAGCAACACGATTCAGCATTTTGTTAGTAAAATTTACCACGTTCGAGACAATCTGGAGCCACAATGTTGTCAGACATTCTTTTATTCATTTTTAATTTAGCAGACTGAAGGGTTTACTGAAGTCAGGAAATGAGCTTGCAAATGCAAGAGTATGCTGCAGGTTTATTTTAAGTATAACTGCTAGTGTGCTTCGCACAGCAGGGAATGAATGACCAGCAGTTAGACAATGTGACAAAGGCACCAGTGTTGTAATGTCTCCCGTCGTGGGATTACCTAGACTTCTGAGCAATTAACGGGAAGGTTATCTAAAGCGTGCCAAACAAAGACTGAAGCTGAAATGGTGTGCAAACATGTGGCCAGGGTGACTTCTGCCACAAGTATGCTAGACATGTCTAGCTTGTTAAAGGGTAACTCCAGTCAAAAGTGGAACCAGAATAAATGACCGATATCGATTCAAGAAAACTAAATACGAGCAGTGCCAAATTATTACACTAAAGGCCCGTTCACAAACTTGCGACTTCTTAGAACGGTGTGCCTTGGAACCTCTTAAAATCTCTTGCGACAAGAGAACATACTGGTGCCACCTATTGGGGAGCCGTGGAACACTTGCCGGTCCCATACATATATTGTTTTCACGCAACTTCCTTTTTCTTTTAGCTTCAAAAACTTTTGTCCATGTTATGAACGACCATTTCTCATAAGTAGTACATACTTTTGACGTCGCAAATACTGCAAAACCTGCGCTCCAGTGAAATGCAGTTCCAGAGTCACCACATAGGAGGCACCAGCATGCAACTGTGTTCTCTCACTGTAAAGATTGTAAGAGGTTCTAAAGAGCTCGGGTCTAAGCAATTGCAAGTGTGTCAACGGCCCTTAACGGAAAACTGCAATCCAGTCTAAAACCGACATCAAAAAGCTACCACCAGTTATCAGCAGGCATTCAGCGGGTAGGCTGTTTGCCAAGCAACCTTGTGCTTCACTTAGTCCACAAATTTGTACCTAAGGAGGCCAAGCAGGTTAATTGTTCGTACCTCCAGTTCTTTCGACGCATTTTGCTGCTGCATTATCAGTCATCCCAGCAGACTATTTGTCTTTTATGTTATGTTTTAGCGGCCGTCTTTTGCAAGTGCTTCTCAGCAATTGGCACAAAGACTCTGTTCACTTAAGCGCGTCGTGGTGCCGAAAGTGCCATTCTCTGGCGGCCATAGTTTGTTCCTGCTCAACGCGAGCTTATGATTAGCTTCCACAATGTTTCTGGAACGTGCATTGCACACCGCCAAGATTGTAGCACTGGGAAGATAAGTGGGGGCTCGTTCTGAGCTCGTGTTCATCGTGGCAAACTCGCTTTTCGGCCGGCAACTTTATGAATGTGTACAGTGCAATCCACTTGTAACAGTAATGAGAAAACCCAAAATTTCAATCGTTATAACCGATCATTGTTGATCATCGTTGTATCTAGACTAGAGACTGGTAATTTCCAGTCTGCAAACTGATGGTTATAAGCGATGCATCATTATATGTGGTGTCATTATAAGCGGATTGCACGGTATTATTATTTGCTACAGATATTTGAAGTCTACAAAGCATGGCAGTATAACAGCCGTAGCATCTTGCCTGACTGGTCGGAACTGCCCTTGCGACTAGGCCAGTTGTAGGTTTTGTGGCAAAGCGAAACGAGATTTGCGTCACACGATGGTCATGCAGCTGATTACAAGGGTTACCATCATGCTCGAGCAAGCAGTATCAATTTTGCCGTAGACCCCAGAAAAAAACAACATTGAAATCAAGTATCTACGAAACTACTTCAGACATTTAAAAAAAAAAAAGTACACCTCATCATTCAGGGGAATTTGGTGCACTAAAATCAGTCTTAACCCCAAAATCGAGATAATGTACCAGTTACCTTTTAATTATAGCGTACGCCAGAGTCAATTGCAAACACTTTTATTGCCAAAAAAATTAGGGTGGATGCTTTACAGAACCAGCCTAACCACTACAATGTGCTCTCTGTTAGTCAGTTGTTTCTACAACGTGCTTTCCATCATTCAACGTTCATCTTGCAGCATACAAATCAGGAATATAAGTTCATAGCCTTCTAAAAAAGAAGCACGCTCGGGAGCTACTTGTCGTAATAACAAACTATTTGCGAGATTGAACGGACAAAATGCCGCCAACGAGCTGGAATTTCACAGTGCCAAAAAGGAACAATGCGTGTTTTGGCCCAGCCAAGCTTTCCTATAAATCGTCAAGTCTCAACCTCTTCACAGATCTCTGTTGGTCGCACTAATGCTGAGAAGGCACACTCACTGCCAGCAAAAGGCAGTTTTTTTCTTGTTAAAACAACAATGTGTTTCAATCTTATAGTCTGCGACACGTTAAGAATTCACTAGATGCTCCGGCGTGAGTTTTTTGTTTATGGTTACACTTGGTCGGAAGTGCAGCCAAAGCCCCACCGAAGGTAACAAGCACGCTGGAGGCAGAACTTGTACCGAATTCTCAGCCTGTCGCTGGCTATGGACAATTTCATTAGCCTCTCTCCTCCCCATACCTTCAAATGGCAGTTTCGTAGCACTTATACAAAAAAAGATGCACAACACTTTACAAAATATGATGGGAGATGCCACTTGTTTGAGTTGGCACCCAGCGTAGCACCTGCAATGTTTTCGTTTTGTCCTGCAAAACGTCTCGATCTTTGTCTTTGAATGTGTAAAGTCTTCAACTCCAAAAGCTTGGTTGTAAAGAATAAAACAAACACGAGATTCAATCCTGGTGTCACTATACTCTCAAACAAGGCGAGAGATGAGAGAAGCCCTCATACTACGCACAAACTCAGAATTGAAGGCATTCCCTAAAGATGGCACTTTGACCAATCACCGGATATTTAGGAATGCCAAAACTCTTGAGCTTCCTATTACATCTCGACACTATTGCCGTAGAACTTGATTTAAAGTAAAACCACCATGCAAAACTTCTCTCTCACAACGTCATTTGCTTTCACATCGTTCAGCACGTCTTGGCATTCATCAATTTTCAAGGGCTGGCAGTCAACATTGCAAACACTCTGTAATAGGAAGAGCAGGCAGCTGTCCAGGGAGGTAATTGCTTAAGGCAGGAAATGCCCAGAGTGGAAAGTGCCTAGGGCAGCAAAGTTTTGAGTGTGGGCCAATCACTTGCAAGCTAACCCGTGGGCTAAGAAAAAGGTAGCTTCTATAACTTGGGTATCAGCTGCCATTCCAGAAAACCATTATGGCAAACGAAAGCCTGCAAGACATAGTTCTTTGGCTTTCTTAAGCCATAGGACTTTTCACATTCCAATAGAGAATGGATGGTTCACTTATGGGGAATCAAGACTGGCTCGTAACGTGCCAGTATGGCCACAAGCAAGGAATTTGCGAGTTTCATTTTCAGCACAAGCAGGTGAGATGGCGTAAGGTGCCCGAGAACACAGAGAAGCTATGGCCTCCGAGTAGACCCTCCAGAAACAACAGACTCGGAAACACCTCCCGAGGATCGACACGATTCCAGAGTATGTGCAGACATGTACAATGAGAAGAGCGAGCCGAGGTACCACGACGACGACTCGAAAAAGATGATGAGATTGCATTCCTCCATCGGTTTTGGGTACCAACATGGGCAGCCATGGGAGAAAATATGAAAACGGACGGAATGGCTACATTCTAAATACAGCGTGTGCGCGTTTGTGTACGTGCACACGTGTCACTAAAAACAATATAACCGGGACTGAACAGTAACCGGAACCAAACTGCCATCCAGAATTGGGCTGTGCAGGGGGATCACGGGTATAGGATCTGGAACTTGGGTTCCTGGAGGTCGCGGACGACTTGGTAGTGCGATACGACGCACATGAAGCAGTAGACCTGCGAACAGCGCCGCTTCACACTTCTGCACTTCGGTAAAATCTGGGGGGAGGTGCAGCACCCGGAACGAGTCTCTGATTGGTACGTTTACTGCATCCCAAAAAAGGCGGTCCCTCGATTTCCGCAACCCGACGACACGCAGAGGCGTCGCGTCATCGCCAACCGCGATCCGGGCGGCATTGCGGCGGACACTGCAACGACTGCCGGGACCACGATGTCCGACGGCGCGACGCTGTGGCTTTTGCGGCGTCGTCTGTTGCCGCTTCAGGATCGCTCTCGACGCGCAAGACATACGGGACAATAAGCACACCGGTCGGAGACCTGTTCCGGGCAGTGCCGTGCAGCGATGTTCCATACCACGTCCAGAAATTCCCTTCCTTGGGTACCAAAACTACCTATTTTAGGTACTTTCTTTTTCCCTGCAAAAGTTTTTAAATGTTACTGTTTAATTTCCCTTTTTTTTTTAGCTTCATTATCGCAGAAGCTGATTTCTGTGGTCATGCAGGCCACATGGCACGCGTCTGACCACTAAAGCCGCGTGAAATTGTGCGTTTAAAGGGGAGAAAATGTAACTGGTCGGTTTATATTTTCATTAACTAGACGCAATTGTCTGCTGGGCGTAGGAGTCATTCAGACACCTCTCCTTCCTACACTGCAAATTTCTCTTCTTTAAACCTTTGAGCTACAAGACAATCGTTTTTTTTCTTTTTCTTTTTAATATTTAGTTTTCTTAAATTTTTCTCTAATTCCCTCTTGAATGCTTAAAATTCCCCGCAACCGTGTTAAAATTCCAGTTTCCCTTTTTACCAAAATCAAGACCGAAAATTCTCTGAAAAAGAGAAAACTCCCTGTATGGAACATCACTGCTGTAGTGGGCAGCAAGCGCCACGTTGGCGTGGTTTCAGTTCAGCAGACTTACGTGGACGCCATCAATGCACCACAGAATGATTGCGGCAAGGACGGAGTAGAGCTGCAAGAGTGAGATGGGGTTATGTTAATGGAGCAGATGCGCACTGGTACTTGCAAACGCAAAACAGCTGAGACTCTTGTACTGTAAGAGATGAATGCTTAATGGAACTAGGAAACGAGACGGCTCTTGGCTGTACGAGGTCGGGACATTTTGATGTCACTGGCCATGCATGTGGTGCCCAGATAAACGTTGGCTTTGAGCGTTTTTTTTTTTTTTTTTTTTTTTTTTTGGGGGTATTTGTGGAGTTTTGTGCACCGTTATAGCATATTTTGTTTGAAGCGACTGTTTGCGGGACTAACCAGTAGTTGAATTAAGTTCTGTGCATCGTCAGTATAACTTTTTTTTTTTTCCCAGGAACTACAACATGTTTAACCCCTTGCCCACTCATTTCTTTCTTCAGAAACATACAACAATATTTTATTTTAAACGGGCAATTTGCGCTGAAATAAGACAGAAACATTTCCTCGACTTCCAGGTGTCATATCTGGCTCTAAATCAGGACTTCTGGTCCCAGTCCCACTGGCGTGCGGACACCAAAGTTGATGGAATGCTTGCAGGATTCACATTGTTTTCATCCCTCCTGTCACTGCCCATCAAACTATCGTCCGATTCCTAAAAATTGGAAAGGCTGAAGGGTTCGTCGTCGGATATGCCTGAGCATTAATTCCTTTCAAAAAGGTTTTGTATCTCTTTGTCGGCTAAAGCGGACCTCCGCACCAAAGTCACGTTGTTTTAGCATAAACGGTCGCAAGCGATTGCTTTTTTTTTTTTCTTGGCTAAATGGAGCGTTCTTTCTTTGTCAAACAGAGAAACAAACGAGCAAACTACCCAAGGTAAACGGAGCAACAGGAGTGGTTTTGCCATCTGCCAGAGAGCGCGCTAAACAGGCACCGAAACGCGAGTCCCGTTCATGGCCGGGCTTTATGGTCCGTAAGGGGTGGCTCGAGTGACACTCGTTATCAGTAACCAAGGGGTTAAGCAGAAACTGATATCTGTTCTGTGCATCTGGCATGAGACAAATCGTTTCATGGTCCCTTTGAAAGCAAAGGCAAACTACAGTGTTCAGACATTCCTTGTTTATATGTTTGCCAAGCGAGAACAGGTCACATACATTTCTGTAGTAACGCCCGATGTACCACAGTCCGATGGCGATCATGAGAAGAATCTCGATGACGACCGAGACCATCCACGGGAAGAACAGGCACCGGTTATCCTGCAAAATCGCATGCCACTCGTCTTATAACGGGTTTCATTGCAAACTCCAGACAGCCCAACAAATGTTGATGTTTATGCATGTTTGCAAGTGTGGCCTTTGAGCACAGTCATCCTGCTGCTGGTGTGAGGGCGGGGTGTCTCCACAAACAATTTACGAGGATTTTTTCACCACAAAAATAAGCTGTGCTCGCCTAACGCTCGCTTTCCGCCCAAATGTAGCATTGGCAGTCCGAACCGGATGAACCAGATTTCAGAACCGACCGATGCGAATTTCTGAGATTTTCGATGGGAAAATGGCGGCCAACGGAGCCCTCGAATGCGTGGAGCTGAATGGCGCAAATTACCGAGAACGGGTCACAATTTCCCGTTGAAGTTTTTAGAAAATAATGCTTAACCTTTGAATAAGATAATGGTTAGTTCTGAAACTTTGGCACCTGGTTCGGACCACTAGCGCTACACTTGGACGGAGAATGAGCATTTGGCAATGTTTGTGGTGAAAAAAAAAATCCTGTAGATTTCTTTGGGGGACACTCTGAAAGGTGTGTCCATGGTTGCCAGACTAGCTTTTGAAGTGCAGCTGTTTGGAAACGTAAGCGAGTACTGGGTATTTGGGAGAAAAAAGAACCACGTTGTTCTCACTGCATTATAACCTTTGAAATGGATAATGGAAAGTTCTGAAAATTTGGGATCTGGTCCCAACAGCTAGCACTACATATGGGTGAAGAAAGAATGTTCGGTGAAAAGTAGTGTATTTTTGCGGTGGGAAAAACATGGTTCTCTTTTTTACTCGAACACCCATTACATCAGCTTCGTGGCAATCTGCTCTTAACGAAATCCGCGGCTCGGCTCGCCGGTCAGCTTACCCGTTTCACTCCAATGTCGAGCATCAGTGCAAAGATGAGGAACAACAAGCCAAAGATTATCGTCAGCCCCGCTGCCACTTCCGTTCCTGAAAATGGTAGGATACAGCAGTTTCACTCATCTTTCTATTTTTCTTTTTATTCTCGAAGCTGGGTAAGACTGGAATCACTGGATCCTGGGAAAGTAATGCCATTGTCTTCCCTGCCTGTTAGCTGGTCATAACAAACAGGTACTAACATACAGACGACATCATCACAAGGCAATTAATTGGTTGATCAATCCCTGTTGCCATGGCAACCACCAGATCTTCCAAGCTTCATTCCAACCAGTCGCGCCAAAATCGCTGTAGAGCATCATCGTATTGAAAGCGCTCATCGCCAATATAAGCCTCCTTGGTACTGTGTATGCAATCAACTTATCAATCATGCCCATCTCCCCAGATCCCTTACAATATTATTGTCCTTCTTGCATCCGGTGTGTGGATAACAAAATCCTGGCATCCAAAAATGTCTATAAAGCAACCTGTCGCCAAGAATGGAAAGGTCAAGAAGAAACTGCTTATTCCATGGACCAAAATGGCAACCATGTGGGGAGCCTGTCGCTACTTCCTCAAGATCCAGTTACCTTAGCTAAGACGACGGGTGTCTTCCTTGTGGCACTGAGTTACACATGTGAGGTGGACCTCGCATAGCCAATGCTCTACGAAACGGGCCTGACAATGTATAGTGCTGGTACCAGCATTCTCGAACAGTACTTGTAGCAAAAACTGCCATGACTACAGTTGCGGCAGTTCAGCATCTTCGAGGATGAAGAAAAAGGTAGCATGCATGAGCCCTTATACGTGGCTTGCATGTGATGTCATTGCACCATGCTGGTGCTTGTTCCTGCTTGTTCTTGAAGAGAAAAATAAATCCAATGGTGCAATATGTATGCAACAAAACGTACGTGCCCAGCAGCAAAGTAAGCCAAGTATAGCTTTGAGAAGCGCTTTCGGCTGAATGTGTAGTCGTGAAGACGCAGCCAGAGAACTTTCCACAATAATCTCCATACCGTGATATTGTTACCGTGATATTTGCAACTTTCAGCGATAATGGTACCGCAGTGTGAGAATCACGCTCCCTAGCTCCTAGATCATCGGTTCAAGAATAAAGGTGCTTGCTTACACCTTCCTGATGCAGAAATATGAGGTAAGGCTCTTTTAGAGCTCATATTTAACGAAAATTACAATCACTTGCACGTCGCAGACCCAATCTGGTATTGCTCTTCTCCCACGATCATCCAGAATCCAGATGGCAGCCATTTTGATAGGAACTATATGCACCCCCTGAAGGCCGTGAAAGTTGCTAATTCAGATCACGAGGCGAAAGACTGGAAAGCTAGATTTCCTTTGCCTTTTTAATGTGTCAAAATGCTTGTCTAAAAAAAAAAAAAAAAAGTATTTGCAACAATGGATTACTTAAAACAATATTAATGTTTCCTCAGCGACACCCACCTTTCTTAGAAAGTTCGAAATAGGGGCTAAAAAAGTAGTCGGTCCTCCCACCGGATACCGCATAGATGGCGTAGAAGATGAAGAGAATATGCACCACCTGAAAGTGCAAGCAATTCCAACCATTAGGACAAAACAAGACTGCATATTCATCTCGCCCGATCGGCGAGGTAAACATTGCATCATGCGACACTTTCACAACGGTGTACCGCAAGCTCAAGTACATACGAGTTAAACATGATAGAAACAGTGCTCACAAACAAAGGTAGACTTTGGACATGACAGTGTGTGTTGTATTTTGTGTATGCCTTTTCTTAGTCTTTGTTCTGAACGCTGTTTCCTTTCATGTATCCCGATCAGTCCAGTTTTCAACCTTGCTACTTACATACATGGGTTGTTTCAACAAAAAATGCTGAAACCACTTAGAGCACACATACACAGTGCACTAGACCGACAGTGTGTCAGTATATTTCCATAGGTATGAAGCTGGGCAGTCTTGCTAGAAACAGCGTCTCAGCTAAGGCATTTGTGAAAGAAACCCTGTCAGGAGCACTTGAGACCTGGGGGGCTATGTAGCGCTTTTTGCACTCCCAGGAGACTAGGGAGAAGGAAGTGACGTCAACAACGCAGCAAATGCAGATTGGATGTTGATTTTGTTTTCTTCTGTCAACATCCAATCTGCGTTTGCTCTAGTCGTTGACGTCACTTCCTTCTTCCAAGTCTCCTGGGAGTGCAAAAAGCGCAACATGGCACCCCTGGCTTCACTTGCCACTCCACTCCTCCACTAGCTATGGCAGTGTTTCCTTTTACACAGTGATAACCAAGGTTCTGTTTCTAGCAAGCCGGCCCAAGTCTACATTTCTTGCTGAAAAAAAATAATAAAACAGCAATAAATCCTTTCTAGAGTTGTGGTCTGCAATGAAACAACTCTAGTAAAGATTTATTGCTATTTTTTCTGAAAGCTGGGAGGGCTCGTGTAAAAACACCAACAAATCGTAAAAGTAGATTGTAAAATATAAATTTGCCTAATTTTGCTTGCTTATACAGGGCCAACTGCATTGGCTTCTGAGCCGGTAAGCTTTACGTCTTTCTCCCTTCGTTATAAGCTGCTTGTATTTCTGTGATTGTGTTTACCACTGCCAGTTTCGATCTGGACGTGCATTGTACGGCGTGCAAATCGGCCGTGTACCAAACCCAGCCATGAATTAGCTGAGAATGAACCCGGTTCCGTTTTAACTGGGTCACGCATCAGTAATCCGCGCGGAGCGGCACGGTTCACGGGATGAACGACCTGTACGCGATCGTTCACTGCGGTGCCCGTTTATTAGAGTTAATGAGTATCCGCCCGCTCGCACATCTGGCGAAAGCACAAGCACAGAAGCGAGTTTGAACTCGGAACTAAAAGCACCTGTCGCGGAATTTCCGCCTCGGCAGCCTAGAACACGGGAAATCGGTTACTCCGGCAAGCATCGGAAGCTTTGGAATAAAGTTCAGTGTATTCGTGAACTCTTCCAGACTATGTATCCGGCCATTAAAAGCGGAGACGCGACGGCGCGACGCATCATAATGGAATCACGCCAACGCCCTAGAGGAGAAAACAAAATAAGAGAAAAGTTCACGCGCGCGACCGCGCGACGTTGTTGGCGAACATGCATGCATGCATTACAAATTTAACGAGAGAAGATGACGTTTATAAAACTTACCGCCGTGTACATCGCCGCGTAGAAGCTCCCATAGCGGAGATTAGTCCAGTGATATAACATGAAGGGAGTCCAGCAGCGACTTAACACAGGCATGACCACGTTCTTGCGATGTTTACAAAACTAGGAGTGGATAAAAAGCGGCGCACTTGGATAACCGTGACTTCCGTGGAGTCGGAGATTAGCTGATTATCGTGTAAACAGTGCTCAGTGATAGGAGATAGCCGCAAGAGTAGTGGGGGGAAAACAAATACTCAACGCCTTTGTTGAAGGCAAGGCATTCGCTGGCTGGCTGACGCCGGAGGCGTTGCCAATGCCGCATACCTGAGTCAAGTCACCTGGTATCAGATTGGCCAATCAGAAACAGGCGAGCACCGGTTTCGGAAACCGGCAAAGTATTTGCGGTTTTCGGGCGCATTTTTTAAAATCAATCCTTCCGACTTTTTACTCTTTTAGTTTGCTTATAAAGTTACATTTGTTCATTAAATCAATCTTCAAAAATCGGTCAATTTACGTTTGCAACGGATCACTGCTACTTTTGGGACGGATAGTAGTACGCAAATGGTCGCACAACTTCATGGGACGATTCGTATATTTTATAGATGTTTTATTAACGGATTTGCTATTATTCTTGCTTACAAAGTAACGCCAGTTAAAAAAAAAAAATAATAATGAAGCTGCAAAAGGGAGCCAGTTTTCATTGGTAACGGATCGCCGCTATTTTCAACGAACGATAAGCCAACGGTCGCATAACAAAGCAAGACGATTAGTGAAGTTCATCGATGACGTTTATTAACATGTTTGCGTAGGCTCTTCCTGTCTCGGTACTGTTCACACCAGCCGTGCGTCGCAGCAGAACAACACTTCCACGTAGTTGCGCCAGTGAAACTCCGGCAAAACGCGTACAGTTCGTCCACGCCCGTCGTGGTACAGGCGAACACGGCACGCAGAAGCCTCACTTTTCCGCCAACGGGAAGGAAATTTGGTCCATAATGTCGTCTATTTTGTTCTGTAGTGTGTCCAGTATGTCCGCCGTGATGAAGACGTGCGTTTCGTCCAAATCTTGAATGATGAATTTTCGTCCCAGGGCGTTCGTGTCGTCGAGGTGGAGGAGGAACTGTTTCATCGCCGGGTCGCATTCGACCAGGATTCCTTTCATCACATGCACCATGGCTGCTGTTTTACCTTAATAATTTTCCCAGGTTGGGTAAGGTTGTGTGGTTTTCGAGAGTAATTTTACGCCGAACACTACCGAAGTGTGTCACACCCGTCACACCATTTTCCTGTGAAGGGCGCCATTTTTGTTGTTTGGCTCACAAATGGCCCCCTTGAGGTGGATTTAATAACGAAGCAGAACTTTCTTCTTTTGCCTCAAAAATATATCGTACTTTTGTTTAAAATAAATAAAAAAATATGTATACATTTTTTTTTAACTTCTACTAACAAAAAAAACAAAACAATTTAAGAACTAAATCTTGATTCGTACGCTGGTTGATAGTCGAGCCATCAGATGGCGCCACTAACCTTCTCAGTTGCAGTTGCGGCAACGTTGGGGGCGTTTGAAGGTTTTGCACACAAATTGATCTATAAAATTTGGCTAATTAATGTGTGTTAATTGGCCAGCTTGGCAGATTGTAAGAAAATACCTTGATTTGCTCACTTGGACAGTGAACAGTACTCCAATAACGCAAATCTGTGGCAGGGCCTTTAAACTGAAACACCCTGTAGTCACGATTAGGGGGCGTGGTTTGTCCTGAGCATCTTATCGCTCCTCAACCAACGAGACTGCGACATCTCCAGATAAGAACGCCGTACGACCAACCAGGCAGCGTGAATGTGATACGTCACGTCAATGAACGTAGTGGCTCGTTATTATTATTTTTTATTTTATTTTGGTAGGCTCTCGATGGTTGCTAATACTGCGATTATTCATTCGCCTAATAAAAAAAAAATATTAATAAAAAATAAGAAACGGGACATGTCTCGGTTGCGCTTTCAAAGGAATTAATCCCGCTCAGACTTGCGAAAGCCAGCTTGTCCTATTCACAAAATAATCACAAAACATAGACTTTATTATTTTTTTTTTGTTCTGAAGATTCAAATCTAATAAATGTAAACTTAAAAAAAAGTGAAAAAAAAAAAGTTTTTGTTTTCTTAGGCAGGGGAAGGAAAAAGGCAAAAGCCGCCTGACTGACGTTGCTACCAGCTGCTACTCACAGATTATACAACACACGCTCGTATCTGCTGAATCTGCTTTCGGGTATCTATCACAAACGCAATTTTCACCTTTTTTGCTTTATGTTGCGCCATGTGTGACTATATAGCTGCGCCAAGCAGGCGGTTCTTGTCTTTTTCCTCTTGCACAAAAAACAAGCAAACAAACAAACACAGACATATATATATATATATATATATATATATATATACTGTAAACGACTTAATTTTCGCGGGCTCAAATTTTCGCGAATCGGGCCAAAGCTGAAAATTTGAAATTATTCGCGGGTTCTAATTTTTGCGAATTGAGTGTAGCTTCCGTAGCGTTCACATATTACCCGAATTGCTCGCGGGACGTATTTTTCGCGTTTGTAGGCGATTCGCGAAAATTAGGTCCTCGCGAAATTTAGTCGTTCACAGTATATATATATATATATTATAAACTTACTTTGACAAATTTTGAATATGACAAGTGCACCACCTATATAAAGACACCATTTGTGAAAAGGTCCATAGCACTCACTCGGTTCGTTGGTTTATTTATGCGAATTGTTTTTCTCCCAAAATAGCGCTCGGGATTGCATCCTGTATACGGCCAGGCGGGGCCTGGTTCTGCGAGCATGATCAAATTCTCCGCTTCCGCGGGCTCATTATTCATTGTGATTCCAAGATTATCATTGCATACGCGGGCATTCAGCGTGCAGGCATCCAAATTGAGTAAAAAACGCGAGCTCTTTCACCCTGCAACTATTCATTTCGATCCTTTGGTTGTCGCGCTCGTGCTTTTTGACCCGACCTCATGCGCCCATGCATATTTATAACAGGTGATGTTCACCATGTACTTGGTTCTTTTCGGTAAAATTAAAATAAACATTGTCCTCGCCATAATAACTACTATACTCGTGTTCGCCTCAAAAAAAAAAAAAATGGAACTTTTGCGCACTGTTCATACGCGGCGCGAAATAGTTCTCACAAGATTTGGTTGTCGGAGAAAGAAGCGACGCTCTTTGGTGTTTGAAGCGTGTACGCGTCTTGATAAGATAACATATAGTATATATAATCTAAGATGCACCTACATATGTATTAGTTATCCACATAAAAGGGGGAAATTTGTAATGCTCCGCGCGGAGCCGGACTTTTTTTTTTTTTTTTTTACTGCGGTTTTAGAGGTGAAAAGGAGCACCACCTGGATTCCAGGAAAGAACCAATTTTCGTGGAATGCGGAATTATCGACGTGCACTCGAATCACCTGCAAAGCAAATAACGAAAAAAAAAAATGATTGAGCATTTAGATTTTTTACATAGATATGCCTTCGAACTTTAACGGATAGCGAAAACGTTTCGTGCCGGCATTGATATGCTAATAAAGATGGCCCTCGGCGCAAAGAAGGAACAACCCGCATGTTTGTCGACGGAACCCTTCAAAGGCCTCGCGAGTGCGGGACTCGCCGACATTCCGTTCCGCTCCTATTGGTTACTTAGAGCCGTAATGCACGTGTCTCGGCAGTTCTGGGGTGGCAGTTGGAGTCGACGATCCTTTGCATGTATTTACTTCCATGTACGCGGTGCCTCTTTCATCATACATGTACTCTTCGTTAGTATGGAGCGTACACCATCATTTTATTTTATATTTTTTTTTTTAGGGGGGGGGGGGGGGGGCATTTTATTGCAATGCCAGAAACATGTTCCCCAAGGAGGAGATAATCGAACGTGGTTTCGAGATACAAAAAGACAAAAAAATATGCAGATGAATGAACCGTACTTGATCGATTGCTTCAAAGTTTACAAAGCCGACGAAAGACAAAATGTTTGGCGGAGCCAGGATTTGATCTCCGGGTTTCGTAATATCCGGTCGAGTGTGCTAACTTGTACCGCGTAAACGTTTCTTTATTGAACTGCTTAGGAACGACCTGCTGTAGAAATTCTAGGAATATTTTTCGTTGGGACCAGTTCACGTACCTTTCTGATTTAACTGTCTATATCAGCGGACGGGTCAGTCGCCACCAAATGGTTCACATGCAGAAGGAACTATCTCGTCCGCTCTGTCCGGCTTAGATTCTGGTTTTCGATGTTTCTGTTTTGTGCAACTCGGGTTAACACATCGACTTTGATTGGTACTAATACAAAAACATAAAATTCAATCTAAAAAAAAAAGATAATTTTTATTATTAGAATGAGTCCTCACGCAGTTTCAGTCATATCTTTATCCGTGTTAAACCATAACCAAGGAACATAACTACAGACTCACAAGTACAAAATAAATTCCACCATTCGTGCAAAAGAAACTTTGTTGTAGGAGTGTTTCGTTGTAAGTGGTATGTATAGGACTCAAGCCCAATGAGCGTAAATTAAAATGAGATGACCTTTGCATTTCTACGAGTTCGCTATCAGCGCGCCTCGGTGGCGACCTCTTATGTTTCCCATTCGTGACGTCACGATCAGGATTTTCCTTGCCGTGACGTCACGAGTTGTGATCCTAGCTATTTATCATCAAAAGCGTATATAGTGAGAGTTTGGCCAGTCATTTGGGAAGTATGTGGGCCAAATGAGGAGGCGCCATTCGCCGAAAGCGGCCTGGCCGTGTGCCAGGGCGTCTTCACAAATTCGAATGTGGCGAACCAGGAAACGCAAATAATACCCTGGCGGTGGTCGCGAAAAACAAAATGAATGAGTTAATCGGAGTAACTCTCTGTGACTGAAAATATGTTCCCCACAATGTTTCGATCACGGTCATGCAAAATCATAGTGGAAAATTATAGAAAGATATAGAAGTTATAAAAAGCGTGTGCGACTAGCAGAACGGTTGACGTAATCCGTACGCCAGGCGCCGAGGGCCGGGAATTTGCCGTCAGAGCGGTCAGACTCGGTCCGAGCAAAACAGAGTTCGAGCGGCACATTGTTTTCCACGTGCCGCCGCTGCTACCTGTTGGCTAGAGTATGCGTTCATCGTTAATCTATTATTCCATCACATTTGTGTTCACAATCATTTGATAATTTGGTAGTTATATATATTCAATGTGTTATAATGCATTAAACAAGATATATTTATATATCTGTGATATTATTTTGAGTTGGTGGGTCCGAGGCTACTCCCTGTAGCTGTAAAGGGAGC